GCTTCACTAGTTCGAATAGTTTAAGGTATTGGACTAGGAAGAAGTCAGAAACTGCTTAGCCTCCTGCAGCAATCAGGCATGATATTTGCAGCCACTCAGTGAGTTTGCTGCTTAAGAAGCTAGCAAATGTGACAACTTAAAATTGCACGAGTACAGAATAAAGAATGCTGCGTGGCATGTTGGAACTTACAGGTATCCTGAATGCTCATTCTATTGAACATCCTACGTGAGACAAACTGAATTGAAAGCTGCACAACTAAAACCCATATAACCCATGCATGGTTGCATTAATCATTTAATGCCGCAACCGTAGCTGCTTCAACAGCAAGAGTACGCTTTCCTTTTTAGTTAAAAAATTTAACAGCATTAAACCATAGATGGGATGAAAAAAGTTATAAATGTTGTTTCTACATAGGAAACGAGTAGTTCTGACCGTTAATATTCTGTCAGATAAAATGAATCAGTTGATTGTAGATGGAACACGTGTACGTCACGGTTACTATACTTCCTACTTCCTATTTCAACCATTTCTCTGCTCTGTAAATTTCATGCTTTATGCCATAAAAAGAAGAGAGCGCGTGCACTGTATCTCATATACTAGCAATCACAAGCCATTTTGTTTGCTCCAACAGACCAAAAACCTTCCCACGTGACCATGGTAATGTAGCAAAAGAGAAGTTAGACAAAAGCCTAAAACAGTGCGAGACCGCATGTACATGTGCGAGACAGATACTACAAGGGGAAATTTCCTGAGCTCAGAATTTTCAAGGCCTAAAAAGTTATATGATCCTGGCAGGAACCTGACCTGTCGAATGGTTTTGCTTGATGAACACACCGAAAGGTTGAAACGCAAGAGATCATGAATAAGGTGAAATTTCAAAGCTAAATGTAGTACACAGGTACAACTGTGGACAGAAACAATCACCGAGAACACCAGTCAAGAAGCTTCACTATGTTTGGCCACACACAAAGATAACAATAGATAAATAAAAGTAATGACCGACCAAAAAGCTAATAAAGAAGAAAGGAAGAAATTCAGATAAAAGGCCACACCTGGACCACAGTACCATCATCCACTGAAGAAAGAGAGTCTAATGTTGATGATGGCGATGATGAATTCCCCTGAGCATCAGCCATTTTTTCACCCCCCTCTGAGAGCAACCAGAAAACAATTCTCGTCTTCTTTTCTTTGCGTTGCTTGTATTCGTACTGAAGCAGAGTCGGACTAGTCTTAGGGGGTGTTTGGTTGGGCTTTGCCAAGGAGCTTTGAGCCTCCAAAGCCCTTTGGGGGAATTATGGAGTGTTTGGCAAATTATTTTTGGGACTCTTTGGCCAAATGTTGGCCTTCTCAAGGCTGAAAGCATTCTCGGAATGCTGATACCCAATTAATGAAAATATGTTAGTTGCCTTTTTTGCCCTTAAAATTCGTCTAAAAATCCACTTTTGCCCCTCGTGTGTACTGTTCATCTTCTTCTTCGTGAGGTGGCCGGCGAGGCGGCCGGCGCCGGATCGGGCTGGCAAGAGGCCGTCGGCCGTTGCCCGAGGCCGGGCGACCCTCGGCGAGGTCGCGGGACCAAGCGGCCGCTGAGTCGCGCGACCCAGCCGGCCGGCGCACTGGGTCGCGCGACCCAAGTGCGGCTGACGGCCGCTAGGTCGCGCGACCCGGGCGCCGGCCGCTGGGTCGCGCGACCTAGGCGCTAGCCTGGGTCGCGCGACTCGGCGGGCGCAGGTCCCGCGACCCTCGCCGAGGGTCGCCGGCCTCGGCGACGGCGGCGGCCCCAAATCGGCCCGCCGGCGGTCGCCCGACCTCAGGCGACGACCGCCAGCGCCAAATCTGGCGCGCCGGCTCCGGCGAAGGGTAAGTTAGGTTTTTTCTTCCCAAAGTCCATTTGCAAAAAAAATTCACCAAACACTATATTTTGGCCAAAGTAGCTTTACAAAATATTTTTACCAAACACCATTTGCATTTCCCCAATGGTTTTCAGCTAAAGGTATTTACATTTTTCCAAGTAGCATTTTCAAAGTTGAACCAAACAGCCCTTAGTATATTCTATTAAAGAGTAACGTAACATTCGATTACGATAAGAACGAGGGACAGGATTTGAGAGTGCAACCGGTCGTGAAAACACGTGGAGTGGAGTGCCCATTTTCAGTGAGTGCATGAAGAGAACCATTCTTTTGAGGATTATTAATTACTCGCTGATTTCTTTATGATATGAGGCCAAAAGCCATAATACCTGCTAAGCTGTGAAGTAAACCCAGTTTGGATGACACCTAATTCTGTAGTCTAGTGTTCTGAGTTGCAACGTTTCTGTTACTACTCGTTTCGACTCTTTCTGCATCTGGGCTTTGCTCGTGAACGAGAGAGAGAGAGAGAGAGAGAGAGAGAGAGAGAGAGAGAGAGAGGCGTTACTGGGTCGAGTTGGTTTTATGGGTTCCAAAACGTAGAGAGACAAGGAAGACTCTGTATCTGTGATATTGAGGACCACAATTCACGCGAACTCTGCAGTAAGGAAGGCTCTGTTTTCGTCTCCTTCCTCAATCTGCTTCGCTTTCCAGTTCCAACCCATCATATTCAACTAAAATCTGCTGCAGCTCTCGTTTCGATGGTCTACGTAAATCGTCGTTCAAGTTCAGGTAGTGCCAAAGCAGTCAAATTGGGAATATGATCCATTCTCAACATAAAGATCTAAATTCCCCGAATCATCATTCTTTATAGAAACATCAAATGTTTGACAACCATTTGACCCAGATTTCTTTCCTTTTCCAGCGTGCTCATTCTTGGCTAGTACAAATCTTATGTTGTTCGTACAAAGCTTTAGCGCTTCGAGTGGAACATCGAACTCCGTTCTAGCTTCTTGTAACATCCAAATTCATGTTGTTCATATCGTTTTAAGATTATGGGCGCTCCACATTGAGTGAATGTTCGATTCGAACTAAAAAATTTCAAGAAATAAAAGTAAAAAATAAAAATAAAAATTATCCGACGTACTGGGTAAAAACTCAAAGCTCCCAAATAGGTTCTATCAAATGGTAAAAGAAAAACAAGACGTTGTTAAAGAAGTTCTTAAAGAACGAAGCTGTGTTGATATGGTATAATATTCCGACATCATCGATCCTAGCCACGTGCTCGATCCGTTTAGAATTTGATCTCAAGAGTGCCCAAATTAGGAAAACAACCGTCCCTTTTCCTTAATCGTTTTATTAGGTAAGGGAATTATGAAACCGTCGTATTCTACTAGAACGATGCGTCACGAGATATCGAATGCCGGAGAAGGTATTTCAAATTCGGGCTTTGAATAAAGGAATCTCCTTTTTTTGCTCATTTCTTTTCCTTTTCCAATACGTGAAAAGCACTAATCAGAATGATAAAGTGCTATGTATATAGCATCATTAGACTGCCTTCAAATCGGGTTTTTCAATTGTACCTACCCTTTACGCATAGTAATTGGTGATGAAAAGAAACATGACAACAGGAAAGAGATAAAAGAGAAAAATCAATCATATGTATTTAAGTCTTCAATTATGTTCAACTCAAATCGATTGAAAAGTAATGTATTGGACAAGCAATAGATAATGTCTCCTTCATTCAAGTATTCCAGTAGAAATTACTAGAGAACGGAGGAAATTCAGCTACTTAATACCAAATTCATAGGTCAACACTGTCTTGGTCAGGTCATTGATCCTTGCTTGGAGTAGGAGTAACATTCCTTTGATACGTGCATTAATAGGTAGCATGATGTTCGATAAGGAATGATTATACGGTTGTAAGGTGCAGATTAGGAGGCTACATCTTCGGCGAAGTCGCGCAACATCCATATGTCCCCATTCATCTGAGTTCACTGATTTGAATATGGAAGAAATCTACCTGCATATTGGGTAGACATAGATCATTCCATACATATATATTTTGAATTTATTCACCCGTCTGAAGAACAAGCTACCCATAACACAGGTAGGAGTAGGATCATTACAAGTCACTATTCTACACTTCAACGTTGGATGGATAATGAACACTGACGAAGCCAAGAGAAGGACACCCATCATAGCACAGTGTTTGTCCCACCAGCTTTTTAGTTAAACACCTAGGATCACGATATTTAACCAACTACACACAGGATCAAACAAAACACCCAGTCACATCTACATATAGTAGAGATCTTCATGCATCACCACCCACAATGGGAACATCCTGATAATCAAGGAGCAGGCTGGGAAGGTGGAGAGAGGAAAGGGAAGGAAGGGAAAGTGGAGGAAGGTGGAAAAGGGAAGAAGGGATCGATGGGCGTGGTCGCGAATGTCGGGAACGTCGGGATGTCGAATGTGGGAGGAGCCAGCAGTTTACGAGCTGCTTCTGCTGGGTGTATCTGCATCGACACCAGCAGAAAAGCGCACAGGAGGATCACCATGTATTTGGAATAGTGCGATGGTGCCATGACCGCCATTATTTGCCAATTGGGACTCTCTTGGACTGCAATTTGAAACAACAGGAAGACTTTTTATAGCGAAACAAGAATATATATATGATTCACCAGGTTGGCCATGGTGGAAATGAATGGCCTCCGGGGTTGGTAAGAGCTTGTCAAGCTTTTGCTCTCTAACAAATGGAACTACCCAACCCAGGACAGTACGGTAGAGTGCGGTTACCTTCCAAGCAACCCCACAGTTCCTCAATTTCATAAATTTGCCTGTCCGTTCGATCTAGCCAGGACAACATACGGAATATGATAAGTGTGAACTAAAGTAGCTTGACATAAGTAGGAGAAAGGCTGAGAGGGTAGTTGGTCTTTGCTGATTTGCTCTAAATTTTTGCTGCCCATTTACATCTGCAAAGCAGTGGAGACTTTCAAGGCCAATGAAAAGCCCATGAAAGCCCCTTCATGTTGGCCAACATTTACAGGAAACACTTGTTCCTCGTAAAGTGCGCGTACATGGATAAATAAAATGGATAAAGACTATCCAGATGCCAAAATGAACATGGAAAAAACAAGAAGGTTCCTTGCGTATACAGGAAGAGCGAATGCATCTGGTTTGCTTTGCTACATTTCCGGTAAAAGGAGAACTGACAAGTTTGCATTTTGTTTACAAGTGGTGAAAGCTTCTCATGGTGTCGAGCTATCTAGTACCTAGGGGAGAGGTTTCCCGGTGGGCTGGGCCTATATTGCACGACGAGACAATACAAAGGAACAGGCTGGGCTTTTCCGGCGATGCGTTTCATCGTCCTATGTTCTCAAATTCGGGCAGACGATAGAAAGCCGTTGGCTTTGGCACTCGCAGCAAACCGACGGACATGCTGTGCGCCACCGCACTGTCCTGCAGTCCAAGGCCAAGCGCTCGTCCTTCCCTTGCGAAATTCCCTCTGCTTCATCACCCGGCTCTTCCCATCTCTTCTCCATCCAGCTCTTCCCCCAGGTAATGCCTCCGATTCCTTTGCTTTTACTCTCTCTCTCTCTCAATTGCTTTCCTAAGTTCTCATTAGGAAGCGCAAGTTGGAATTCAACTTGATTCCATCTGGGTGGCATTGCATTGTCTCATTTGAATCCTCGTTTGTGCTTAGGAGGAGCAATTCATGGGGTTGGACGTGGACTGGGAGATGGGTCTCTCGATTTCTTTCCCTGTACTTGTCCCTCCTCACCTCCGTTTCTGTTTCACAGGCACATGAGTATCGTCCATCTCCTTCCTTTACTCACGCCTGTGAGGATATCGACACTTATTATGCCCAGCTCCGGAATTCCAAAGGCCAAGCTCTTCAGAAAAAGCTGCATTCCCTCATCTCTCCTCATCGCTCCTTGTCCTACAAGCAGGTCACCTCCAATTCCTAATTCTTGATGTTGGTGTTGTATCGTATTGTGTACGTGTAAAGAAGCTATCTTCTTTCAATAAACAGGTGTGGGATGCCCTCAAGATCCTTGATGCTGCTGATGTTGATAACCCCGAAGCTTCGCCTGGGGTGTATGGTTTCTCATACCCATTATCAACATCCCAGTAGTATTTCATACACATGTATCCTTATGCAACTCTTAGAAAGGAACTATTTTTCTTTTTCTTGTTGCGCAGAGTTGAAATTTATACTCTTAAGATCGTACCAAAGGCTTTAGCTGGAAAACCTGAAGGATGGAATAGTGAGTCACTTCCGTTATTTTTCAGCTAATTGCACACGGTACATAATGCCTATTGTAGTGCTCAGGTGTTTAAGTACTGAAGCGGCACAGATTATGTTGGGTGCCATTTCTTTCTTTTTCCCCCCATTGAAGTCATTTTCTAAGTGAAGTGGCTCGGTTATATCCGTGGTTCCAAACAAGCTCTTCAGTGTATTTACCATTGTTGAGAAAGGGGGCTTTAAGTTATGGTGCAAATGCAATGGTCCGAGCAATCCAGTTTGACAGATTATTCACGGTGATTATTTACTTCAGAGATTAAGAAGACCCACTCTGATCAGTTGAAATTCGGTCACTAAACCCAATTTTTACCTTCTGTGGTGACATCATAATTTGGCTTTGATTATGTCCTATAGTAGTTGCAATAGATTCAGAAGTGTTCACACCAGCAAAAACTTTGCCAGGGGAGCATTTATGGCCACGTTCTTATGGGTTAATTGATCGTGTGTCACTGAGCGATTTACACAACCTTCGCCCATCTGATATAAATGGTAAGAGGTGATCCTGCTTTAGTGTAAATGGAGATGCCAATCATAACACGGAATAACTCGCCATAATTGTCCCTTGCAGTTAATTCATCTAGAGGAAACAAGTATTATGGAGAATGTGCTTTTACCTCCGCTAAATGTCTGAGACCAGCGAACAAGGAAGCTGCAATTGACACAGAATCAGATAGCAAGAGATGGGCTCCACCTAGGCAGGTCCATTCTTTTTCATAACTTTGGCATGGTTGCAATACTTTAAAATAGCTAAAACAGTGGAACATAATTTCAAAATTTGGGGGACAACCTCTAAGCATGTTGGAAGGGATTAAGTGTGGTTGTGGCAATGTCCACATTATTTTGAAACTTATCAATAGCATACATGCCACAATAGCTATTGCTTGCTAATTCACTACTGAATATTTAATGAATCGAATGATTCATGAATCTTCAGGACAACTGAATCCGCTTCTATGCTAATCTGGTATGAATTGGTCTAATATTTCCGTTTAGTTGATCAGTTGCATGTTTTGTTTTTCTGTAGCTCATATCTTCTTCTTGGCATGAAATTGGGACACTATGGTCATGTTCTTATCCTATCGTCAGGTTAGAGGGGATATTGCACGGGCATTAATGTATATGGCTGTCAGCTATGGGTTTCATCAACCAGGTGGAGGCCCTGATCTTCACCTCTCTGATTCTCCGAGCATTGGTAGGCTGAACTAATTTAGTGCATGTTTTCTCTTTCTGCATCTGCTAGTCCTTGACCTGCATATTCTCACTCTCTTGTTTTTAATGATAACTAGGACTGATATTTTGACCTTTGACATGAGAACTCTTAGATCTGTCTCCCATCATCTCGTTCAAGTTTGTACATACTGCGTCATGTTAAGCTTAATGTAAGCTTTCTAATGGAAGAAGCTCTTAAAACCCAACTAGACTTCCGTCAACATACTAGCTTCTCTGATTCCTCCCCTTAAATTTCCTCTTTCTTTCCAATTCAGTACTAAATTTGGTCTTGCGATGTAAGGAAGGATAAGACTGATATTATAGACATTTGATCTCTGCTCTTGATAATTAACGCAACAAAAATGTCAACTAGGACCTTCTAAAGATTCATTACCTAAATGCCTGCATTTGAGGTGTAGGGAATCATTGGGGAAAATTTTAGTGCAATACTGAAGCTTGGGGACCAAATTCCACCTCACTAGTGTGTTGGCTTTTAAGTGGAATCAAGTACCACAGGAGAAGGAAGTTACTTTGTTTTTTTGGGCTTGTCTTATTCCTATTCAGTAATGTTCGAGCTTTAGCATTTCTAGAGTCTAATCTTTGACGGAAAAGTCAAAGCCGGGACTTTTGGTTGTCTTTCACAATATCCTCTTCAAATGTCTCAGTGGAGTTTTCTGATGTTGACATAGGAGTGTCTGCCTTTTTTTTTGTTTCGTTTTTCTCATCTATGGTACATGAATCTAGTTATCTCATAAGCTTAAATGGTGTTAGATATAATTTACGATGATGGTATCTATTTTTGGTATATTCCTAGTTCTGTCTGATCATTGATGCTCTTCTGCTCTGTCCTTTTGCTCTTCTCCATTACAACCAGCTTGATTCACTGGCAGTTTAAACACCGCATTCCAATGACTTATTCTTCATGTTTATCTTATCGCCTTTCTTCTCTGCCGGTTCTTCATTTTCAACTGGGAAGTTTAACATTCTACTTTTCAGGTCAAATAAATTTTGCTTGTGACAGAGCATGTCCTATAATGTGTGCCACTGACTTAATGCAGAGAAAAAGGAGATGGGACTGCTTTCTACACTGCTGAGATGGAATAAATTTGATCCACCATCAAGGGAAGAGAAGCTGAGAAATGACCGGATATGCAAGTTTTATCAGTATAATAGAAATCCTTTTGTTGATCATCCAGAGTATGCTGATCTGATATGGGAGCAAAAATAGTTAAGGCAAATCAATCTTGTCATTGTCAATGGGGTTAGTCCACATTAGATGAACAGACGAACAATATGATTGTACTGTGAGGCGGCATTTCTATGTGTGCTGCCAGTCATTTCATTTGCCATCACGCCAAAAGGCCCACAGACTTGCATTCTGTCACATCGCTTCGAGTACTTTCTAGTTGACTGGGAGTGTATACCAAACTCAGTCCCACTGTTTTGGAGTCGGATTTTGTTAAGAGGAATATGGTGCGCACGGTACAGCACCTACCTAGGGCGAAGGGTTGTGGCGCTCTGTTTCTTTTGTTTTCTTAATCAAAGTATTTCTCGATAGCAGAAAAAGTGTTTTGCATGGTTTATACTTTCCGTGTTGGGAAATCCGGTGAAATTCAATGGAAATTTAGGAATTGCTTTTCTCTGTCAAATCCCTACAGAGTGCTTTCCCAAGCTGTCGTAAGTTTATCTTGCGAAATTCAGCTCCCTTCTTAGAGCACAAGGATAGGTATCTACAGTCTTAGCTGTGGAACGGTCCATTGGAGGTACAGGGCAGGAGCAAGAGTTCTGTTCAAGGGACTACTGATTATAGGATGTAAATGAATTACTGGAATAGCTTAGAATTCAAAAGCAGAATGATGGAGATTGATTGAGAGAAGGCCTGAACTGGGACCAAAGGATGACACAGAAGTAGCACTGAAGCCCCAACATCTTAACATGGGAATGATTATTAACTCTTAAAAGTAAGATGCTGATATAGATTTACACTTTGCATGTTTTGTAAGTCAGTAGAGAAGAACTAATGATCGCTGGCGACTCATTACGGTTTGAAAGGGACGGGTCGTGCAAAGTCGCCCCTTACAAGAGAATGGCAAAGGGAAGGAGGGGCAAGTCCATGTAATGTTTGCTTGTTCTCTCTATGCAAGTACTTTTCATGGCAAATACGGTGGAGTTAATACCCTTAAAGAGTCCGACAAATACTGAGCAAGACTTCTTCTCCATCCTTTAAAGACTGTCGCATGATTATAAATATGCCGGCAACCTGGTCATCTCGCCCATCAGAATCTCCCTCCCGAGTACATTCTGTTGTTCGTGTATATATATATATATAAATAATGTAGTCCTTGCTTGACGGGGGATCCCTCTCGCTCGCACTCTTCGTGCGCGTAACACCGTCGTTCCCCAGAGGAAGGTGGGGGACATGTTCACCATCTCCCTTCCCCACTTCAGCATCAGATGGCAACATCGTCTTCTCCGAAGAAGCAGAGGAAGACGTATTACGCTTGGGTCATCTCCGTCTTCCTCGCCTTGTTCCTCCTCTCCGTCTTCCTCTTCAACCAGCGCTCTCGCTCCCTCCAGCCCTCCGTCTCCTTCATCCGTCATCTCTTCCCCCAAACTCGTTCTCCTTCTCCCCTCTCCAACTCGTCCCTCCACCGAGAACTCCTACCTCCATCTTCTCCGGTCGAGCCGTCGGGCTCAGATGTCGATGGCAACCCGGATGCGGGCCGCATTTCCGATTCCGAGCAAAACCCAGTTTCCAATGTTGCGCCTGTTGGTTCAGTCGCTGATAAAGGTGGCGACTTGACGGCGGATAGCCTCAAGAAGTGTGATTTGTACATGGGGACGTGGGTGAAGGATGAAGAGTACCCGATTTACGCGCCTGGGTCGTGCCCCTACGTGGACGAAGCTTTTGATTGCCAAAACAACGGAAGGCCTGATTCGGACTATCTAAAATGGAGATGGAAGCCCGACGGTTGCGACCTACCCAGGTAATGCCTACTGTCGTTTTCCTCCTTCCGTGTTGTAATTCTAGCTGCGTCTCGCTATGTGCAATGTTTGGTAGCTGTAAAAGCTTTGGATGCGGCAGTGAACATTGTGGGTGAGGCTAGTTGGCTTTGGTTGTTTTAAGTCATGGTTTCAATATCTACTTCTGTTGTGATGGGTAGGTGGAAAATGAGGATATGAGAGAGCGCACGCTTCGGGAAGAAACAGAGGACTGGTCTGAGCATGATAGAGCGAGAAACATTCAGATAGATTGAAACTCAAAACAAGTAATTTCTGCGTGTAAGTTCATGGTCCGTGCATGAGATCTCCAACTTCGTCATTGGGTGATTTTACTCATTCAGAGTGAGGTCGGTTTATGAATCGATGGATTTTCTTGTCGAAAGAAGCTAATGACAGTGCTTAGTCAATTATCCATTCCAGAGTATCTAACTACGTCAGCCTGAGCTGTAGTCTTTACCTCATATTCAAAATCAAGATGTTGAACAAGAAGCTGGTGATTGATAAATTGGCCCAACATGCCTAGATGTAGAGTTCCAAAGCTTGAAAATTCTCCAGTTAGTTTTTGTTCTGATGATGTAATTCTATATTCCTGATATTAATCCTATATTCCTGATATCTAGACACCGAGGTAAACATGTGTAGAACACGCTTGTTGCTAAAGCAGTGGATAGTGTGGTTGGGATATTGATTACTATCACGTGAGTGGACAATTTCCATTGGATTGTCTTCACTTTTAATGTTTATGCAGAGACCTCTATTTGATTATCTAGTCAGCTTGAGATGACATTTTCCTTTATTTCTTCTTCTATTTTCTTTTTTTTTTTACGAAGACATATATCTTCATTTCTTCATAAACAAATAAGAACATAATACGTGATAAGATGTGGGAGGTGGGCTCTCATGAGGTTTTGGTCAGTTTCATCTCAGAGATTAGATGGTTTAATTGTCAATTCTTTTTGTAGGATAGATATAAATGCTTATGTTGCGGGAACTGCTGCATATCCTATTTCTCTTTCTATAATGTTACTGCTGTTCAAAAGTAAATGTGCCTTACAGAATGCCTGTTTCTACTGAAGTTTTACTGTAGCTCAAAAGTTGGGTGTACATATCTACTACTACACACACACACACAAGCACGCGTGTGCTCACACAAACACAATTGTTGTTGACAATAGATCTGTTACCATCGAATCTCTTGATGCCATTATCTTTCCACGCTCACTCTTTTCTTTTATATGGCCAATTCCACATTCACTCTTCACTCGTAGGTTTAATGCAACAGACTTCTTGGTGAGACTAAGAGGAAAAAGGTTGATGCTGGTTGGAGACTCCATGAATCGCAACCAATTTGAGTCCATCCTATGCCTCCTACGAGAAGGCCTCTTGGACAGGAGTGGAATGTTTGAAATCCATGGATATAAAATAACCAAGGGAAGAGGATACTATGTGTTCAAGTTCACGGTAATATTGATTGTTCATTTTTTATTTCGTTTTTAATAAATTTTTGGGACATGAATAGAAAGGTTTGATCCTGGCTTACTCATTTCATTGCCCAACCAAGATTTTGTGGTATGTAGTTTTTTATCACATGAACTCTGCATTACATGGTATGGCATTGGAAGAAGATGTTTTAGGGACGAAAGTCAGCCTTAGTGATCCAAATTGAAAAGTGGGCTTTCAGTGACCCAAAACCTCGAAAACTTAACCATCTAACTTTACATCAAAGATATAGAGTCTAGACCCTAAAATGCCTCAAATTTCTCTCCCTCAAAACACTACTGGAGGATAGTAGCAAGTGTCGATCTTTTGATTCTATGATTATTTCATCGCTGTGGAATGTTGTAAGGATTGAGGAGTTTCCGCTTGGTTGGCCAAGAATGGGACTTGCTAACAAGGCCTATTTTCTCTAGGCAGTTGGCTCTTTTAGTGTGCTTTCGACACCTAGTTTCTCCCTTTCTCATTAGGTGGACAGTGGATGACATTTATGTCCGATATAAAGAGCTAAAGAGAGAAATGATCCTTGTTACAGAGATTGATTCTGACTTGATGAAGTCACGAGTAACTTTGCATGTCCCATGTTTCCATTTTCTCTTGGATGGAGTCCTTCATTGATCAGAACTGCGTGAGCTGACTTAAAAAAATTAGAAGTATGTCAATTAATATTTATTTTAGGATATCAAGTGCCTTCCACATGGATGTTTGCATGCTAGAGCATCACCAGTTGATTTAGGAAAATCATGGTTTGTGGATTTAACTTGCATGCATTTAACTGCTTGAGCAGGATTATAACTGTACAGTGGAATTTGTGAGATCGCATTTTCTTGTGAGGGAAGGAGTGCGTATCAATGGACAAGGAAACTCAAATCCAACTCTGTCAATAGATAGGATCGACAAATCAGCTAGACGATGGAAGGGGGCAGATATTCTTGTATTTAATACTGGCCACTGGTGGACCCATGGAAAGACTGCTAGAGGGTACATTGCTGCAATCTATCTTGTTGATATGCGATTCAAATTCATGTTTACTCTTGTATCTGACCTGTCGTGGTTTTCTGTTTTGGTCATTTATTTTTATGCTAGTGTGCTGACTATATATTGGTAATATGATGATTATGGATGTTTTTCTTGCGGTTTTGTGTTCATTTTTCTCGAGTTCTTCTTTCCAAATGCAGTAGTAGGTTTGTGAAAATTAACTCTTGCACTTGTGTTCTGGTGTATGCTGATGATTAGATACACTTAAAGGTAACAGAATCGTTTCTTCCTGATGTTATTCCTTCAAATTTCTGGGAAACAAGTAGTTGTATGTCTTTTTCCTGCAGGAAGAACTATTATAAAGAGGGTGACTATGTCTATCCAAAATTTGATGCAGTAGAGGCTTATAGAAGGGCTTTGAGAACCTGGGCAAAGTGGATAGATGAGAATGTGAATCCTGAGAAGCAGTTGGTGTTTTATCGTGGATACTCGTCTGCTCATTTCAGGTATGTCTACAATGATCATCGAAAATTCGGTTTTTACTTTGAGCGAGTCCACATTTGTTGAACCTCTTCTTCTAGTTAACTTTACCTGAGAAAAGGAATTCTAGGGAGCTATTAATATGGAAGTTGTTGCAGAGAATGAATGTCTATTATAATTAAGACAGCCTCTAACATAAGGGTGTGATGCTTATGTATTTTACTTGTTTACGAAAACAGAGGTGGAGATTGGGATTCAGGTGGGACATGTAATGGAGAAACAGGACCGATCTCAAGTGGGGGCTTCCTCAACAACTATCCTTTGAAAATGAGGATAGTGGAGGAGGTCGTCAGGGAAATGCGAGTTCCCATGATGCTTCTCAACGTCACAAGGTTGACCAACTTCCGCAAGGACGGCCATCCGTCAGTATATGGAAAAAACACCACCGGCGGAAGGAAGGTATCAACCAGGCGTCAAGATTGCAGTCATTGGTGTCTTCCTGGGGTTCCCGATTCGTGGAATGAGCTCATATATGCCTCTCTTGTTTTCCAACAAACCATTTCCACAAGCTACACGTAAGACGTGAGTGTGTATGTTTCTTTCAAATTCAACGGTGGCGGACGAGACTGTGAGGAACATGTAAAATGGTGCGTACCCATGTGGAGAGAAAACGAGTTGACCATTAAGGTCTTCTGCTCATGATTGATTAAAAACAGAGGACAAAAACATGGACGGTCTTCATTCAAACTCCTCTGTAGATTTCCATGTTGCTTGTGCGGGAGGGCAGGGCCCTCAAATCTTGTCTCGGATGATCTAAATGGGAAAGAAGAATTCTTATATTATTACTCGAAGCAAGCCCAAGGTCTACCTCCATAATTGGACCATAACGACATTGGTCCAACAAAAAATAATCATTTCGAGGCGAAGCCCCTTTGAACGGTTTGGTAAGACTAGTCCCCAATAATATTAAACGCATTTCATGGTGACAGGAAAATCTTTGGTCTTATTAAGATATCGTATCATCACCTTCCCCTGGTTGACTGCTTTTGAAATGTGTCGTGCAATTGAACCAGTAATGCACAGGAAACATCCATTTCCAGCATTCGGTTTGTCCAACACCATTCGTCTCTCATTGTCAAACCATGATTCACACCGAGCAAGAAGAAAGACCACGCCTCTTCATTGATTCGTTTTTTTTATGGAATGGACAATGTTAGATATATTAGGATTGATCTTTCAAGCACGAACTATGCTATGATCTTAACCACTTAACCAGGAGCTCTCCTTGGATCTTTGGTATTCCGTTAAGTGGTAACCTTACTAAAGAGAGAGAGGATACAAGCTTCCTTACGAGGACCTCTGCAGGCTGTCCGTTTGCAAGCAGGGATGGCGGGTTTCTCATATGCGTTCCCGCATGACTTACAATTCCTAATTCCACCCTAATCTTTATCTTCCTATAGTGGTGGGAATACCCTCTTAGTACTTTACATTTTGAGGATACCGAGATTCGAATGAGGTCCAAGATGAAATCCTTTTAAGATCATACTTAAGACTTAATGTATCAAGTTCCTCAGCTTGTTAAATTCTAACACGTGCTGAATCCACCAATCATGCGCCCGCGAAAAGTAAACCTAGAAAACAGAGGGAATGATTTGTGGAATTGACTTGCGAGGAGAGACTTTTTTCGAGTGGCGGGTAGCGAAGAGATTCAGCGTCTCAAGTTCTAGGAAACTTGACAGACAAGAACCCCCTTTTTGAACGGCAGAGGGGGGGGATGGCAAATATTGACTTCCGCTGTGGCTCTTGATTAAGATTTTTCCGAAACAATTTGTGCGGACCATGGAGTTTGTGCTCCGTTGACTTTCTTTTATCCCTATCATTCCTTCTCGAGGACATGCTTGCCTTTCACGCCTGAAGACGCACGATGAAAAGTGGGATCGACGTCGCAAGGGAACCGAACCGAACCGAATCGCTACACACGGAATTAGCAAATCCTGGTCAAAGGAAAACGAATGTTGCCAGAAAAAAGATTGGAGGTCTTTTGTCAATCGAATTTCACACGGTGTGGCTGGCTACCCAAGGCTATATTACATGCAGCACCTCTTGATTTTTTTTTTGGGGGGGAGTGGCGCGCTCTATTGCTTGACATCTCGCAAGCCCACTTGTTTAGCCGTCGCCTTGGTTATTAGGATTAGGACGAAACTAGAAGCTAATACTCTCTACTCACAAGCCCTAAGAAGAGATCAACATAGTTCTCAATTATAAAGGGTGTTGTTGTAGTTAGATCCCTCCCCTCCCCCCCTCTCTTTTTCTTCTTTTTAAACCTTTTTTCTTTTGGGAAACCCAATTTCATTTTGTGGGGGGTTGGGTTGTGGTTGGTCATTTCCAAATTGCTCTTGATTGGCAGGCGTACTAAGACGAATTAGATTGCTAGGTGGGGGGTGGTGGTGGCGGTGGGCAAAGGGCTAGAGAGTAGCTCTCATATATTATATTCTCTTGCAGTCTTGAAGGGAGGCAGTCTTTTTTACCAAATGATTTCGAGTTCCACGTGGTAATTAAAGACGGGTGGGAGGGAGGGATTGAATTAGGGTTTTTGATTAAGAGGAGGAAGCGAAGAGATTGATTGCGGGGTGGTGGAGGGTGGACCTCGCTCCCTAATTCCATAGCCTCATCACTGTTTTCATGATTTGATAATTTTGGTGGGGGGTGGTGGAGATGCTTCTTCTAGATACGGGTGAAATTTAGATTCCACCCCCAACCCCCTCAGCCGTACTTGAAGTTAGGTTTAGACAATTTGCCATCCATTGATTGCTCCCCCCAATTTCCTTATCAATAGAAAATCAAGAGGAGCACGACCTGCTTAGGTCGTTAAAAGACTTCGTCTTGGGTGTTATCGGACGCCCGGAAATTTTGGATATTTCCTCTCTCTGGAGAAGACAAATATACATGGAGAATTGGGGTTGTGCGGGATTGGCCATGAAAGTTCTCGTAGGAGCAAAAAGTATATTGTTTTGATTTTAGAAATTTCGATTTCGCCTCGCTCGTGCACGTTCTAGAAGTAAGATATAGTCTAAGCCCAACGAGTTAGTTTTAGCATGCGGTTAGCTTTTCACCAAATTATTTTCTTTCACGTGTTGACGATTTAACGTCGAATTATTTGATTTCTTGCTCGCCCTGAGGGTTGGGTCCGAATGATGCTCGGAGTAACTTCTCGGGCCGCCTATCGCGCCTAATCAATCGGGATTTTTTCCCCCTTCCTCTTAAGATGCATTCCGAGATCGAAACAAATCTGTGGGAATGCAATGCTTGCAAACTCCATGTGAAGTAACTCGTTTTTTTCTGATAGATGTCCTAGCAACGAAGCTGCCATCCATCCTTTCATTCATTCATAACAACTAATGGACTTTGGTTATGTTATTAATTGAGCGGGCTCGCATCGCATGCACGCATGCGTCAGCAGGGATTAGGGCAACGTGGGAAAGCGTAATTAAAGAAAGTAACCGTGGAACACGTGATTTTTATCCTGGAGTTGCTCAAGAGAACCAACAGTTACTTTCATAATTTCACCCGTAGAAGACTCTTTAAACACGTTGGAGTTGAACCCATTTAATTAGCTTTGGTAAAGTTGCGCCCCATAATCACGTGGCCTCCATCAATTACTCTAATTACACTTGAATTTTAGGCACATTGAATGTCCCATTTTAAAGAAAGTACTACCCCGACTTCACTAATAACGCTGCAGCTCCACTTTGCAATTACCCCTTCACTTTTTCTCCTACTTTTTTCTAATATTTTTCATCCTCAATTCATGCATTTTGCATAAAGATATTGTTTCGGACAAAGAAAAAACGACCTGCAAAGTGCATGCTGAACTTAAAATAGTAAAGATAACGGAACATCGTCGCCACGGATGCTAATCATTGTATTATACCCGTGTGATGTATGGTGGGATGTTATTTCGTAAATATTGAGATTAGCAAATCTTATCCAATCTTAAAAGCTAGAATTGCAATACCCGTGACGCCATCTCGAGCTCACTTATATCAACCGCTTATTATGCACATTTAATCAATCAAATTGGCATTCGTGCTGCACTTCTCTAAATCCTACCGTAATGTTAAATCGAAAATTAATGTTAATTCAAGAGTAAGAATAAAAACGTAAAGCATGGATCTTGAGGAAATTGGCGTATTTTCTAGTGATTTTAGTACATGGTGGACAATAAGGATCCATAGAAATTGCGAGCTTGAAAGAAAATAAAAATTCAATCATTGCAAGTCCTCAAGAGAACACCATCCCATCTTTGCAATCTCATCCATTTACTTACAAGAAAATATTGGACACTAATACTAATCTCTAGGGTAAGGTGAAGAAGGAAGAGCATAAGTAAACATAGATTAAGAAAACTGGGTTGGAAAATTTTATTCTATTTTCCAAACAAAGTTTTCTTAATCTATCTTTACTTATGTTCTTTCTTTTTCACCTTACCTAACCACTTCAATGAATATAGAATATATATACTTGTTTCTCTGGAGGAAAATCTGTTTCCGGATATGCACAACATAGTAATGCTTTGTCAAACAAGAAGTTTCTGACAAAAAAACAGGAGAAAGTTTCCATCATTAGTCAAAATTGGAAGACGGCAAAAAGGACCTTTGGAATTATAATTTTGCTCTTTGCAAAGTATTATTTGGCTACAAAAATCTCTATCATTCATATATAAGGTATATATTTGTATATGCAAATTCATGATGATGCTGATTCGAGAAAGGAAAAAAGGCGTGTAAGAATCCGTGACACATCAAAACACATTATTATCTCCTATTCCGATCACCCAATATATAACAACAAGGGTCAACAACATATTTTCTAATCGAAAACATATCACCTCTTTTGTTCTCTTTCCTTTGGATCATAATATTATATAAATTATTTTGCCAAGTCAACATCTTCTTCCACCGTCATTATAAGCAAAATAAATTCATTGGCCCCCAGAAAGATGCTGGTCCATCTACGTATACCAGACCATCTGTTGATCAAAAGGAGACACGAAAAGCTTCATGAAATGGTGGGTAAAGCACGACACATCATTGCCAGCCGACTATATTACCAAAAGAAAAATATAAGAGAAAAAGGAGGAAGGCATTCGCAAATTATGGACATGGGAGGATCCATGCAGATGCGATCAAACGACTGCTTCGCACACCTCTCACCCCCAGCTTTCAGTTTCCACAGAGAAAATTCGCAGTCAAGCCACATAATCATTATTCTACGGTCAAACTCCCTCAAGAGAGCGAGAGAGATGGTCAAAACACGAACGGTGTGAATGCGACGAGTCTTTACAGAGAGATTTATTCACTTATTGTGCCTATCGAGACCCCAAGTATGGGCAAAGAGGAAACATTGAAAACCCAAAAAAGAAAGAAAAAGAAAACCTTGTTGCGCCATGAAGTTCTCATCAATGGAAAACAGACATGCAAAAATCTCTGCATATTCCATGCTTATTCCTATTCAAAGTAGACCCTCTCTCTGTCTCTCTCTCTCTCTGTGCTCAGGTTAGCTACAAGGGGTTTTGGGTAAATGGGCTCCTACATGATCATAAGATAAACTAGAGTGTCATTTGATTAGTTCGCTCCACCCCGCCTGAACGGATCCGCTCTGCTTTTTCTGCTACTTTGTCTTCCCTTCTTCCCCGGAACCTCAAATATCGCAATTCTCCTTCCTCATAGCTTCCGGTTGCCTCTTGCGAGTTCCTCGCAAGAAGGGCATAACATAAGTGTCTTCGGTGCTTGGACATACGGCGGAGACGGCGACGATCTCAACTCCTGCAATTCTTTCTTCAGCCTCCGGTTCTCGTCGCTCAAGGTCTCGCAGCACTTTTTCAAGAACTCGCAGTCCACTTCTGTCTGCTTCAGTTTGCTCCTGCAAATATCGGTCAGACTCAGATACAGATATATATAGTTCATAATTCAGAAGCTATAATATATTTATTAAAGTAATATAAAATAATCAAAATCCCAAAGATGAGGAAGAGAAGAATGAATTCTTGGACCTTGCTCTCCTATTCTGAAACCAAACTTCCACTTGCCGAGGCTTCAACATGAGTTGGTCAGCCAATGATTGCTTCTGTGCCTGCATGGAAGATCAATGAACTTTCCTTTTCGTTTTTTCCCTTCTCTCGGATCATATAAACTCGAAACATATACGGATCTCATAAGCAGCATGTGCAGAACGATATTGAAGAGCCCAATCCCAACTGAATCCATGGTCAATTATTATTCATGGATTCTAATTTATCCGGCATATGATCCTCTATATGTATAATAATTAGATGCAGAATAAATTACTTACAAAAAAAGAACAAGGAATGGACTCATACCGGTGTGAGAGTGGTGTGAAGTTTGAAGCTTTCTTCGAGCAAGGCAGACTGTTCTCTGGTTAATCTGAGCTTCTTCCGGCCACCGTTAAAATCTCCGGCGCTGTTGTTGCTGCTACGAGGTGGACTGTTGTGGTCATCCTGAGAGTGGTCAAAGCTGTCGTGGAAGCTTGACCTGGTCGAATATTCAGCGTTGTTAATGCTGTTTGAGGGATGATCATCAGCTTCCATCTTTGATGATGAACAGTCGATGGAGAAGGAAAGCCCCAAGCCCACCGCCGAATAAGTGTTATTCTTCTTATTCTTCCTCTTCTCTTCCTTCCGCTTGGCCGTGCACCCGCCAACACCTAAGCCCAGAAACAACCCCGTGTTGCATGCTTCTTCAACATCTCCCATGGCTGAAACCACAGAGGGAGAGAGGGAGAGGGAGAGGGAGAGGGAGGGTGTTGAAGTGGGAGAAAAATGTGCTTTAAACTTTACAATTGGCAAGTGAAAGGTGAAGGAGGGGGTAAGAGAGGGTTATATTGGGGAACGAATCAGTTATTAGTGGGAGTTTTCTGAATTGTGTGTGTGGCATTACATAAATATTAAAAACAGTAATTAAATTATTAGAATCGAGAAACTAGGGGAGTAAAACACGAACGACAATTAGTGACTGACTCCCATATGAAAAGCGAGTAAAGGCATGCGTTAGAATATTTGGGACTGACTCCTTTGAGGAAACCAAAATAACTTCCCCTTTGAATGCTTTGACTTTACACACATTCCATCCAATTCCAATCACACCTCTCTCTCTCCCTCTTGATAAGATAGCATGATGACATTGATATCTCTCTTTCAAAGTCGCTCCAAACAGGGGCATAACTATTCTACACACGCCATTATTAGTGGAGAAAATACATGGTTCTCCTCCAACCGAAGTCCATAATTGATTTTGAGGGGTGAGGGCTAATTATAAGGGTGACTCAGCGACTGTTGGTGGTCACCTCCCTTTATTCCTCCTAGTAGCATGATATCGACAATAGCCCAAAATTTATTGCCCTCTTATAATTAAGCTGCTTCCGAACCCTACTTCATAGCTAGATTAGGACACAACCCAGTTTCTTTAATCTCCTTAGCAAAAGAAGAATCAGATCACATCTCAACAACCCTTTCGTTTTTCGAAAGAAGAGAAGAGAAACGTTTATCTACGTGACTCCTCGACCTTCGAGACCTCCTTAAGAGTTTGAATAGGCTGCAAATGCAATATTGACTAGCTTGAGTGGTTCCCAAACAGAAGCAAAAGTCTTGTTGAACTAGTTTAGCTACTTCTCTTCTAGAGAGAGAGAGAGAGAGAGAGGAATCTTTGAGATAGAAATCATCAGAGCCATCGTATTGTTTCGTGATGGTAATGTCTTGGCAGGTAATTTCGTGATCTCGATCTTCAGAGCCATTGATTTGAGGGAATATAGAGTCATCCATACATTATTCTTTATACATATTTCTTGTTCTTCCTTTCTAGGCCCCAAAAGATCCTCCCTTTTTCCTGCCCCACGATTCCGCATCCTAAATTTGAAAAACAGCTGCAAACCCAGATTTACCGAATCGCTTCGTCAATTTTTCTTACCTTGAATATATGTGTGACTGTAAAGATTGGTCCACGAAGATGAAGCTTGCCGGGAAATGCTTCTCTCAATCTAAATTTCGTTGGGATATCTCATACTCTAACCATTTATCCGAAGATATCATACGATCTAGTATTGTTTATTTGAGTCCGCTAGGATATCGAGATTATTTACTTTGTTACATTCCTTTGTAGGATCAGTCTTTGCCTCTTTCAGAATATAAGTTGGAGAATTCTTCTCTGGGTCTGCCCCGACAATGAAGTTTAATCATTTAATGGGAGTTTGAAGAGTGTTTATTCCTAAGAGTGGGAATACCGCTTTTGAGTATCGATTTTGACAATTAGGAAAAAGCATGCGAGAGAATAAGTTAAGGAAACTAGGGACGGGCATGAGAAGAACGATGATAGGCCTTGCCTTTAACGTTGTCAGTGAATGTCAACTGAACCGCCCATATCCCCAGTTGGGCTTGCCCGAGTCCACAAAAAACGCATGCCTTTGGACATTTTTAGACAGATCTATCTGGTTCAAACATAAAAGTTAGACAAGCATGAAAACGGTGCTTGCCGTGAATCATGTTTCTTGTGGAAAAGAAACCAGAAAACGGTGCACGACTGCATATAATTATGCACAGCGTTTTCTGCAAACACTCTTAATCGCATGGTTAAAAGGACCCCATCCCGGCTAATATCAGGGATCGGATTGTGGGGCGGCGGTTGATGGGTGGCATTTACTGTTACTATACCGAATCGACTCAGGCAAAGAAGCTGCGATTTGCGCGGGATTAACTGAGAAGTGATTGTTTTCACCCTGCTCAGATGGAACACATGACTCGAGGTTTGAGGCCATCTCGAGCATCGAAACCAAAAGAGAAATCAAAGATTCCCAAGATCCCCATTGTTAGCGAGAGAGAGAGAGAGAGAGAGACGGTGAAGTTTTCAAAATGTGACGTAGGTCCGATAGGCTCGTCCGGAAGGACCAAGACAAAACATGGATCAATCATGCAGTCATGAGCGGTCTTGTTTGGCATGGAACACTCACGTGAACCCCAGCTTCGCTTCGTCATTTGACCGACCCAAAGACCCATCAAACCATAACGTATGAAGCTCATGTCCTCACCTCGCTCCCCTGTATCATGTGATGATATACTCTCCTCCGCAAATCCATGTGCTCTCTCATTTATCCATCTCTCTTTCTTTCTTCCCATCTCTCACCTGTGTAGCCCTCTAGATGATGAAACCTTCACTTCTCCTCTCCCTCTGTCTCCTTATTACTACTGCCTTCTATCTCTGCTCCTCTTCGAGCTCACCGGCTGATTCCTTGGTTTTACACGACACGGGACGACGAGCCACGATGACAAGAGATCTAAACATGCCCTTTGTCAACAGAAAGCTCAAAAGCCACAGCGTCAAGGTACATTTCTGTTCTACTAATCAACAAACAGATCGAGTTTAGCTTCCCTTGCTGCATCTCTTCCATATCTCTCCAGTTTGCTCAGGTTCCTTCAGTCCCTATAAGCATGACGTGGATACATAAGTGCAGGTTCTTGATGACAAAAGGGAAAGATCAAATGTTCGACAGGGTAGCACTGAACTTCAGACTTTGAGCAACGATAACAGCACGGATGACCTTGTGTATCACATCGACTACCATGGAGTAACAACTCATCCAACTCCAACTCCAAAACACCCCTAAAACACAGCAAACGCCGGCCGTTCAGCTTGTCCAACTTTTTTTATGTATCCTCTCCAATACAAAAAATCATGATGTATTAGTCACTTGTATCATTAGCAACATTCTTCATGCATCTTTTCCTTACATTTCGCTTCCATAAAGGACATAGTTGTCATGGTAATCCGCAAAGAGGAGATGAATCATGTTTAATTAATCTAAAAGAAAATTCAGCTTTGTCATCCGCTGGCTCAAAACAGTGACCAAGAAAATCATCATCTATGTGGTTGCCTACTTTCTAATCTAACAGCTCTTTGTTCCTCAAGTCTCTGAGTGATGCCTATCGTGATGATATATCTTGCAGGTATTAATATTAAGACTCCATGAATGCAGCTCGTCCCTTTACATTCTATACTAAAACGAAGAAAACAGGTTTTCCGTTCCCCATCGGAATCTATGATAATCATGTTCATAAATATTCTTCCTAGTTGAACATTCTTACAGCCTTCTAAACCACAACATCAATCTCCATACTCTCTCCAACTGTGATATTTACAATGCCTCAAGGTTTCCTTTCATCAGCCACTTTCGACTTAATTTGATCAGTTAAATGGCTACGCTTTGCTGGTTCTAGTGACAAGAAACAGCTATTCAGATCCAAAGACAGCAAAACTAGACGCAACCAGTCAACTCTTTAAAGACTTTGAATCTCCACATGGCCAATTTTAACTTGACCATAGAATGGAATGGATCCTCAGGATCGAGGAAGCAATCTGTGCAGCGAAAAAAGATGCAAATGAGTTGCTTCTGGAGCTGAAACAAACAAAAGGGGCACAATTTATGGCTATAGTTCCAAATCACCAAAGAAAAGGATATCAGTGCAATAGCTTGAGTTGAACAATCTCCTGAGGTTTCTGCTCCTTTTAAAATGAAACATGGCAAGGAGAGAGCTTGCACATCTTAGAAAACCATCATTTTTAAAAAATGAGCTCCAGAATAGTAGAATCATATTCACCATTTCTTCCTTGAAACCAGCCTTCTTCACTTACTGTTGTCAGGTTTGTGTAGAGAGAGAGAGAGAGAGAGAGAGAGAGAGAGACAGAGAGAGAGATTCTCCCTTACTAGCATAATTTGTTCAGGCATGTCCATAAAGGCAGATAAATGTGGGCCTCAATATCTGCTTATGGAAACTTGTCCTTTGGCCACGACCAGTCCACGTGCATGCCTTATTTTCTCGACTGGTCCAACAAATTAATAGATTTTCTTAACGCCTATGTTTAAAGAAATTTTCGACATTGCTGTAAGATTCTGAGATTTATTGGAGAGAAACCAATGAAATTATCTGGCCTGGCGAAACTACATGTCCAAGTATATAAGAGGACCAATATGATGTGTTGATGCACAGGGACAAAGAAGATCACAAGGCCTTCTAGGCCAATATGATGAGCGTAATCAGTAATCTTAGCAACTTGTAACACTAAAGATATGACAGTTAAATAGGCATATCAAAGGGGAGGGGAGGGGAGGGGATTTCCCCCAAACTCTCCTTATTGACAAAAGAGTTCCCAGTAGGGAGAAGTACATTATATTTGTTGAGAAAGAAACAGAAAAGGAAGAGAGATGGTCAGAGATAAACATCTGCATGCTTGTATTGCAAGGTTGAAACCAGACAGGCAGAATGATATTGGTAAATTGGATATGAGGAACAGGGTGGATTAAAACTTGAATCAAGTTAAACGGGTACTGGATATGCAGACAAAAAGACTTTGCTCAAGAATAATGAAATCAGGGTGAGGGCAGCTTTCAAGAAAGAAATGCCGGTTTGCTAGTTCAATCGATCTTGAGATAAAGAAGATTATGCAGACCACCAGGGGAAAACCTGATAGAATTCCTTTAGAAGATTGCAACCACTCTGAAGAGCCATGCCTTCTTAAGCTGCATAAAAACTATATAGAGGACTAAAATGCCTTGTGATTGGAGAAGCACCTATAATAGAGAGGACAGATTTTCTTCTTCTTTTTTTGTGTGTTTTGAAAAACGGTATCTAGCTTCAGAACATGATACTGGGAGAAGAGATTTAATATGAGGCAATCAAAGTACAAGCAACCGGAAGAAAGACGCCTCTCTCCGGTTAGGGCTCATAACTCAGAAGTCTTGAACATTTTTCTGATCAATGTTCGTAAGAATCATTCTATCCTAAGAATCAGTGTTCCTAAGAATCATTCTAAGTCTTTTTCTTCATTTCCTGCTCTTATACATCGGGGACTAGGCAAGCATATGCAAGAAGATACTCGGTGATGCATGGTATTGGTGATGTAGCATTCAGCGCTTTTGCTCTCCGTGCACTTTGCTCAAGATAGAGGATGCACCAGACGAGTCACAATTAGAAATGAATACAGAGCAACTATGCTAAACCTTTTAGCTAAGGTGGAATCACCCTCAAGGGTGGGGGGCATAGATGTGCTCAAAAGAAACGGGTGCGCAAACACAGACGGCTCACTGTCCACACTGCCAACCCTCGTGACCATGAAGGTCAGCCTATTAAAAAACTATAGTAAAAGGAAAAGAGGTAAATTATGACATGTTAAGTCTGGAGGACATAGAAACCCCCAAATTAGAGGAAGCAAACACAGGTTCAGCCAACGTACGCACGTAGTTAGAGAGAAGAGAAAGCCATGAAAGTGGTGGGAGTCCTTATGATAACTCGGAGAAGCATAAACCCAGATGCATTTATTCATAGAGCAAGGTGTCATCGTTTGTTCCTTGTATGTACATACTCATCCTCGGTATTACAACGGCATGGACAATTACACTACAACATACTCCCGAGACATCACTGAAGGCAGCATAGGTAACGAATCCGAAGAAACAAAAGCAGGGACAAGGAAAACAGAAGAGGAGAAAGATGTGTACAGGAAGAGAAGGCGAACGCTGAGTAACTCCCCCTCAAACGGCAGGTATGTTGGCAAAGGAGAAACCTTTATATCCCTTATATGCATAGTAAGCAATGCGAGTGTAATAGAACCCGGGAATGAACAAGATCGAGCCAAGAACCGCGAAGAACACCCCTGCACCGCGAGTCGTCCGAACGCAATGAATCAAGCAAGAAAAAAGGAAGAAGAGAAGCTCGGAGGAGCGGAAGCGGAGAGGGTACCGTGGGTACGGTCGCCGCCGACACGGTAGGAGGCCATGAGGGTGCCGAGGACGATGCCGAGGGTGCCGACGACGAGGAGGGAGACGGCGAGGGCGATCTCCTTGATGGGGGGCCTGCTGTTGACGGCGTAAGGGGAGTCCATCATCATGTCCTCGTCCGAGATCGAGAAGGCATGGTCCACGTACGCCATCTCCCCCGGCCGAAAGCAAAACGAGAACCCCGCGTTTTGGTCTTGAGCTGAACCAAAGGTTGGTCGAGTTCGGACGGACGAAGAAGAAGAAGAAGCACGGGAGAGTTTCTGCAAATTCGCTGGGTTTCGAGGAGAAGAAGAAGCGATTGGGTATGACTTTTTCTTCTCCTTTCGAAGCAAAAGACAAGACCAGAGAAGACTTTCTGGACAACAGCAACAGCAACAGCAACAAAAGTTGGTCTTTTCGACTCGGGCCCAGAATCAAGCCCACAGTTTCTCAAATTTACGTTACATATGTCCTGTTTTGAGATGGATAGATATGGATTAGATAATAAATGTTGCTGAACAATAATAAAATCAGAGGAAGAATTTGTTAAAGCATAGACAAAAGTAGAGTACCCTACTCTTAATAAGCATAGAACATAAATGATTGACATTATATGAAGATAAAGTTACCCACAGACTTTTGCATAAATGAAAACGAATCTGTAAAACAATTTTCGTGACGAAAAAAAGATAATCAGGAACAATTCACGCTCGCTGCACGTGCTTGACGATGTGGCTAGGCTTCACTTTGCGTGTGGCTTTCGGGCGGCCAAGCCCGTTAGCCACCGGGGCGGCTCTTATTGTCGCGTGTCGGCATGTGATTTGTCCATGTCATGCTCACTTGGTATTCCTATCTCCTGAATAGCCAAGTCAGCATTTGACGTGGTACTGGCATGTGATCTCGCCACCTAACTCTGATTAAGGCGTTGACGTCACTGTTTTTTAGATTTCGCCAAAAACTTCAAGAAAGTGATGGAATATTTTGTAAACCTCCAAAAACATGCAAATCATATGTTGTAGGAAAGCTTGTGTCGAATACTCTCTAATGGTTTAACTTTTGTTTCGCAAATGTGTTAGCCTTGGAAATTTCGGCCTTTTTAAGTACGGTGTAGTCAGGGAGTGAGGAGAGTTAGAGATAGGACAGACCAAAAATAAGTACGGTGCAATTTTTTCATAAATGGTGCACCCAAAGAAAGACCAAACTTTCAAGGTATGATAAACGGCATATTGGCTACAATTTGTATGGAACTAGTGCAGAAAGAAAATGGCTTTTAGAAAGCGCCATATTGGCACTTGATAGTTTTGAACCATGCAACTAGAGAATACAGTGCACGGAAAACAATCGACACTTTCTCTCATACTAATATTGGCTCTGGGTTGAGCGGAAAGTATAATTTTTTTTTGCTAGCCATGATCGACGGTCGTTTTACCCAATATATGTATTATCGGTGGTCGAAAATGCAATCACAAATTGGAAAAGGCCCAAGCTTCCACAGCACATTATGCCAGTTGATCAACACAGTTCAAAGTTTACTCTTACATATGATATTGCTTCAATAGAGACGTGGCATATCGTTCTTTGACTAGGAAAGTTAACCCATTTTCTTCGTCCTTTTCTTGTCTTTTCTTAGGTCGGACCAAAAATTTGTGCAAATAAAGAGATTGTTCTGTTGTCTTTCATATCCGACCACCTCTTCTTGGAACCCATGTGACTTGTTTGAAGCAGACCGGGGCTTGTCTTTGCTGTCTGTTCCCTCAAAAGAGCAACTTCAAAGAACACGGGTCGGGTTTCGGGTCGATCCATATGGGCGAACTGGACGTGATATCCAACAATTCTCCGCTGTAATTAGTGAAAGAGGGCGAGCGAATTCGCTCGCACAGATTTTGCCAAACGGAGGAATTTTAGAGGAACAGGAAATGGATCTATAGCATTGAAGGCTTCGCTTGATGCATATTTCATATTTATGCTCTTCGTCGAAAAATTTTCCGACCCTTTCATCTGTTATGTGTTAAGCTACATTTCCACGCGTGAATCGCATTCGAATATCGTTTATATACTTCGATTTGCTCAGCTATGCGGTCGTGCTAGTGCAAATACTTTCGATGGAAACGAACCGATGCTTGGTGTAGGCTAGCTCCAAGTCTAGTGGGTTTACAGATCTGTGCTTTGCATGATTTTCCTAGCACAAATTAACTGTTAACGCAATCTAATCATGTAGTGAGGACTCGCATTCAGATCTCTCTCAAAAAGTACCACCTATATTTACCGACTAGCAAGGAAACCCAGAAGAAGAAGAAGAAGAAAGAAGCCTAATACATCGGCCATTTAATTTACACTACCTAATACTGAACCATCATGACAAAACAGAAAGATGACTACAATCAAATAAAAGTGCTCATGTATATAGTTAGGTGCGTATATATGATACTACGGGAACAAGCTAGCTGGAAGAAGACATCTCTCTCAGCTTGATCTTATCTTCTTGGAAGGCTTCGCAATGACCAGGAAGATGGAGGCGAGATCGTCCGGAACCTGAAATAATCCTTGAGGAGGAGGCCCTGACGCTTTTCTCCTCGGAGGCCGAGGTTTCTTCGGCGCTGACGGACACGCCTTGGCGGCATGGCCAGTCATAGGGTCAGGACATGACTTGGGGGTGCGGCACTCGTCCTCATCATCGGGTGAGGAGCCAACCTGCCTTCCCTCGTGCGGCGGTAAGTCAGAGAGCTTAGATCCGGAGCAGACGACGATGGTTCTAATAGGGGTCGATGGCCTGAACTCTTCTGGGATTCCCATTCCCATGTTGTTTCTCCTCTTACAACCCGGGTTGCTTGCTTGTGGCACGTACGCTCTTCAGTTCGCTGAACAGTTCTGCAACTGAGAATCCCCTTGGATACCGAGGTCTTTTATGATATTTCCAGGGAGGGAGAGAGAGACAAAGGCGTGCATAAAGGCAATCGAGAGGATGATGATGAGTGGCGATGAAAGAGAGACAGATGGGAGTGATGAGGATGAGGACGAGTTGCTGCGAGGCTTGGAAGATGAGTGGCGTAACATGACAACGACCTTTTTCCCACGTTTAAAAAAAGGCAAATGACAGTTGCGTTCCGGAAGTGAGTGAGTATTTCATGCTTAACTTTTTGGTACTAGGGGCATGTTCATAAAGGCACGGATACCTGAAAGTTAATGCAATCCCCCGGGAGTCCCATGACACTTAAGTTGGAATTTTTTTTTATCTATGTTGGTGATTTTGATTCACAGCAGTTTGCATATAATTTGTACGATTTGAATAGGTGAATTTTAGTTCCTAAACTGAAAATCTTTTATGCTCCAATCAAGTCAGGAGTGACATTATTAAGTTAATGCAATGCACTACGCTACACTAATTCTAGACGATCAGGTCTATATGCGACCCAAGCAAGACTCACATGGGACTTATCATTTTTATCATTTATATTCTACTTAATGCATACATAAAAATAATTCGATAATTTCTTGTGTTTCTGTAAGCTATGCCCACCTATTTTCATCACCTAAAATATCACCACTCTTGTCTTGCATGGCTATTTAACACCTAACTAAAAAATCCTATCCCCTCCCCTATGCTCTGAAGAAATTGTTATTTGAAGCTTATACATGCAAACAAATGAATTTGACCTTTAGATATGGTAGGAATACTCTCTCTCTCCAACGATCGCGGCTGCCTCTAAGGTTAATCTAGTTAGTCCGATCTGGTTTGAAATGAAAACCGAACTAAACTGTAATACTACGATTTGGAAAATTCCAAGACCAAACTTGAATAATTAAGGATTCGAAACTAAATTGACCTATACTAGATTTTCCAGTTTGATTCGGTTCGGAACAGAATTGAATTGAATTATCGTTTTTTTTTTCATTTATCTTATATAATGTTCTTGGTTCTCATTCGGCTTTTAACTTTATTGGACCCAACCAAACTGCCAAATTCAAGTCCGGTTCGATTTATGAACCGAATTCTCGAAATCACCTCCCCAAACCGAATTGAACTAACAAACCTTTATGACCTTGCTGGTTTTTTTTTCTTGTTTTGGGTCAAAAAGCACTTTCATTCTTTAACGATTAACGAGAATTGATAGAACACAATATACGAGTTTTCAAACATAACATATATCGAAGACCTTGCTAGTTTGACTTGGTTTTTTTACCTTAAAAATTCCACGCATGATGCGGCTGGGCACCTCGTGTGTCGACCGGGAATTGTATCAATACGAAGTCAACTCCTCATACACTACGTCGCCTCCCCTTTCCACCTTTGTTTTTTCTTTACAGTAGAATTGTACTTTCGCTGTTAAACGCCCCCCAAATTACACAGCTCAAACATAGGTTGACGGATAACTTCTGCAACCTGTCGCGGCAGCGATCGATTTCTGCACCAATCATCCGATTCGATACTGCTGCGTCGCGAGGGCCGAACAATTTCTGGCGGTCTCGCTGTTTTCACAGCGAATATCGCATGAAACTTGTCTGTTTCTTTATGCATAACAACAATTAACAAGGAGGGAGAGGTTGCTTAGGATCCAATTCACATGAGGAACACTACGGCACAAGCGAGCAACAGAAGCTGCAATGATCACATGCTTCTCTGGCCATCAAGTGTGTTTTCGCAAGTGCTCTACGATCAACTACAATCATGAACTGGCGAGATCGCACCTGCGCGAACGATTCGGCAACATGTAGTTTAGACAAAGCTTTCTTATCTCTATAGTAATGCTTTGAGTATGCAAGGACACCCCATCATGCATGTGTGTTCATGCCCACTCATTCTATCTCCAAAATTTCTCTTTTTGCCAAATATGTCGAGGGTAATTGTCAAATGCTGAGATATATCGGACCCTCTTCCTTAATTTGGGGAATTAAAGTTGAGACGTTATTTTTCACGCGGTGACCGATTGTATATGTCAAGACGAAAGATCGTTCCCTTGCATTGAAATGCACGTGTATTAGAACCTTTGTGAGGACCACCACGTGGTGATGTCCATATTTCTAGTGAGAGACCAAAGTTTTGAGGGCCTAGAAAAAATTTAGCAGTCAAGCGAAGAGGTACGAGGCAGCTCAGATCACTAGATTTCCTTATCCTCTTTTTTTTTTTGTTTGGCCTAAAGCTTAGGATCCCCAGTTGATAAACAGTTATATCTATGTAAATGTTATCTTTATAAAGAAGAATGTGTAATTATGTCCACATTTTGACAACGTCCTCACTGTCCGAATCCTAGGCCACTGAGGTAATGGACCCCTTCTATGGAAGTACACAGCAATTCTTGAGGCCTCGCAGCAGAGCATATCGTCGGTAGTGCTGAAGCCATCTCATTACGGTACGGCAATCAGTACCCTTTTGGGATTTTGCTATTGTTTTCCAACAATCATTTGTGGTTCAGCATTTTAGGAGGTACGGCTCGAGTTTCTGATGTGATTATGGAAGGTGATTGGCGCAGTCCTCCGGCGAGATCGGAAGACCTTGTGGGGAATTTCAGTCAGCTTTACTGTGTTGCTCTTCAACCAGACATTAGCTCCTCTGGTAGCGCGATCCGAGGATGTGCAAATTTGCGAAGAAGATGAAGGTTTTTTTCTGAAGGAGTTGATTTGTGAGCTACTTCTTCAGTAGGAATATACAGTAAGGGGGAAAAGAGAAAGGAAGCAAAGAAGATAGCACGGTCTATTCTAACTCGTGTACCCTCGTCAATCCCAATAGCTAATTCATCCAGTTTTTAGGCTAGAGTTCCATATTGCGACACGAATCGAGTGCCCATGTATATAACCATCGAAAGAGTGTTTGCTTCATGATCTAATCAAACATAGTTTGCAAAAACTTATTGCTGAATCGAGCGTCTCTCAGTGTTGAATCCGAATGCAGCAAAATAGGGTCTGGTGTTCTCCCAGCTGGTCGATTTACAATCACCAAACTGTCAAAGCCGGTCAAAACTCGTGCGTGGCCACCTGTCTAGTACTGGGTCTAAATGTTTGGGCTGGTCAAAGCCCCCACAGATGTTGCCAGCACAGTCGAGCATCGAAGGCGACAGAGATGTTAGTTGGGCCTCGTTCGGACTGGATCGAGCATGACAGAAACACTTTGCCGCCCTTTTTCTTTTCATGCGACTTTTAGTTCCAAATGAAACAACTCAGCCCTACTGTACTGTACTGTACTGTACTCGTTCGCTTCCCATACCCTCTGAAAATCTAAGAGTTTTTCACACCTTCCCGTTTGAAATTTGAGTTTTACCTAACGTTGAAATAACAATATCGAGTACAAGGTCCACGTTTTTTCTAACCAATCCATTTCTTTGACCTTAATAAATACAGAGATCGCAGTGAGAATCTGACAGGGCCTCGGGGTGGTCATGGTCAACGAAGCAATAAGGTTGGGGGAGGGGAGGGGGTGGGGCACGGGGGGGTAATCCCAATGTTTGACCTTGGCGCACGAATCACGACATAAAGTAGGGCCCCACCACCCACCCACCCAACCACCCACCCACACCCACAGTCTCAGACTTTTCGTTCGACAGTGGGGCATCTGATGCCCACTTTCGCGATGCGAAACCCCACATTGGATCCTGTCTCTTCTCTTATTTTGCACACGAAAGTCCTAAAGAGAAAAGAAGCCATCAAAGTCAAGTCCAGAAATCACGCGATGAAAATGATTAACGGGAGGAAGACTAATATGAACTCGCCATCTTCATTTCAGTGGTTTTTTTTTTTTTTTTTGGCTTGTTTTCAGCTATAATTTACAGAAGCAACCAAAAAAAGAGACGCCCCATCCACCCCCAACTCTCTTCCCATGGACGTTTGCGTTGAATTCCGTGCACGAGTTGAGAACTCTCGCCCTGTCCCCCCCTTGTCTTTTTGCTCTCCGCCGCTGCGGTTTCCCGTGACCGCCGCCCCCCCACGGCGAGGCCCTTTGGACCAGATCTCATGAACCCTTTTCTCGGTTCTCAAGAGTCGGGCATTGGGGCGTAGGAGATGGCGTTGGGGACGGAGTGACGGTGCTCCCCCTCGTACGTCACGATCATCATCCTCGGATCGTCCTGGGCTCTCTCCACATGCTTCCTCGCCGGGCATCCTCTCACGCTACTGCACTTGTAGTACCCTCTGCAATCCGCGAATCCATCAGTCTCACCTCGATCCCATAATCAATACGATGACGTACATAGAATAGATGGTGGTGGTGGTGTCACTTACCGTGGGAATGGCGATCCTTTGATGGGCTTTTGCCCGTACTTCCTCCACGTGTACTGGTCCGCCGGCACCTCCGCCGCCACCCTTATCGTCCTCTTCACCCTGTGCTTCCTTTTCTTCGAACAGTGGCATCTCCCAGCGGAGAGGGCCTCCTCCACGCACTTCTTCCGGTGAGCCGACGCCAGAGGCGGCTTCCCGGCGGACATCGTCGGGGGCGACAGCCCCTGCTTGCCGTTGGAGACGCTGCCGTCGCCGGTGATGGTGGAGAGGAAGGACGAGGTCGCGGACGACATGGGCTGGGACATGCTGAGGAAGTCCTTCGACTGCGACTGCGACTGCGACTGCGACTGGCACAGCGAGGGGTGATGGTGGCTCTGGCTCAGGCTCAGAGGCTTGGCCATCGGCTTCGTTTCGGGTTTGGATTCAGGCGCAAGATCGAGGGGGAGCGGATTCTGCGGGGCGCGGCGGAAGCGGGCGTGGCCGGTGCGGTTCAGGAGGGAGATGACCTGCTTGAACTTGGAGACGGTGAAGTGGGTGAGGTGAGCGGCGGAGTCGGGGGGCGGGAGGCGGTGGGGATCGGGGCTGGAACTGGAATCGGAATTAGAACCGGAACCGGAACCGTGGGGAGCAGCGAAGAGGGAGATGAGATGCTGCATGCTCTTCAGCCCAGCAGCGGCCGCTTCCTGGATGGCCCTCTCGTTGTCGTCCACCGCCATCTTCACGCAGTCCACCGCCATGAAACGAGATCCGTGCGAGCAGGATGCGAAGCTCAAGCTCCAGAGGTGTGGAGAGAGGAGGAGGAGGAGGAGGAGGAGGAGGGCAGGGTTAAGAGGAGAAGAAGAAGTGGGGTGGGGAAGGAGAGCGGGGGATATAAAAGAAAGGGGGAAAGTGGGGAGGTGGAAGGAGGGAGAAGGAGAGAATCCAAAGCTGTTTATCACTCGAGGCCAGTGGGGAGGAAGACGACAAAATCACACAGACAGATAGAGAGTTAGTGGGGGAGGAGTTAACTGTATAAAAGGAAGGCTCAGTTTTGAATCCTAGTGGTGGGGGTGGGGTCCTCTTTTCGAAACCATCAAAAGGAACCCAAGAAAAATCAATAAGAATTTGTGATTGCTTACAAAATCATTGATCACGCATGGGCGAAACACTACTGACTTTATCATTGATTTACAATGCAAGATGACATGTGTATATATATATATATGTGCATATTTATATAATGTGTTTTTGGGCTAAAGTCGTACTGTGCATTTAGTGAGGGGGTTTGAATTTTCGGGAGGAGAGAGGAGTGAAGGGTCAAAAAGTTGATCAACCAACAATGGGGAGCACATCATTTCTTCTCTCACTTCTCCCACTTTTGCTTTTGCTTTCCCTTTGCACGTTGATTGGTTCCTGCTTTTGCACCAAAAGTCAACGATCCCCCCCCCCCCCCATGGTTTTCTTAATGCAGCGCCCCCCGGATCTATTCCACTTCGCATCTTTTTTCTTTATAATTAAATCAAAATATGAGGTGGATGCGTGAAATGTCAAAGGTGCTATTCCCTTAGGGGGGAAAAACAAAAACGGGAGGGTCTTCTAGAAAAAAAAACAAAAACGGGAGGGTCGTATGTGGCGTTGGATTCTCTGCTATCTCCCATTATTGCACGTTTGACTATTGCAATTGTCAATTCTTACATGCACAGAGTTCCACACATAATTGCTTTCCCCTCGAACCATCTCTCCAACATGCTGTACATTCAAGATCCACCTTCTTCTGCTTCTTCTTCTTCTTCTTTTCATCGGTTAGTCTGAACCCAAGTGCCGAATCTCGATTTATTTTCCAGTACCAAAGTCGAATTTCCGGATGATATCGGCAATGACCGAAATTGGTCCGTTCCCTTTTGATGGTGGCAAGCGAAAACGAACTTCTTCTTTTCATATCTATGGTTACCCTTTTGCCGAACCATCGCTAAGGACGGGATGAGCATAGTGTTGTTATATGTACAACATAATATATAAGCTAGGAGTAGACTAACTTGGCGCAATACTAAAGTATTGCTCTGGAGCACAAACAAATTGACTATAGTTTATGATTTCTGCGGAGGGGTCAAAGACTAGTTGCGCAGCTAGGACGAAGAGGGTGGGAAAATGCTGATTTCTTTAATTTGGGTGGGGTCTTTGCGTGGAATTGACCCTAGCGGGGAGAAGTTTCCTCCAAAATGTTTAGGGAGAGGGGATGGGTCCCCCCCACCCCCACGAGGTGTTGACATTTTCCTATCTTCGCGAGTGAAACTGTTGACTGACTTTTGAGCAACTTCCTGCAGGGGAAGGCAGCTCCCATGCGGCCGTCGGATGCTCCTCCCCCCGTCCCGTGATCGGACGGCCAGCGTGGGGTTTCCCGTAGTGGTTGACCTGAGAATAGAAAAGAATAATGATGCAGGAAACCAGATGACGTCTCCCGCTTCGGGTTTTCCCACAACCACGTGGGGTGGTGGAGAATAAGAATGTTAGTTTCCCACGTCTCTCGTCTTTTGGGGTTTAAGGATTAGGAACGTAGAGGGAAGTTTCGTCTGAAACACCACCACCTCCTCTCCCTTGTTAGTTCTCGCACTTCAGTCAATTTGCTTCGGCTTCATCTCCTTATCCATGTCCTAACTTGGATCAGATGACGGAAATATATACTGCAGTTTTGGCTTTTGTTCCTTAGAGTTCAGGGCATGTACTGATCGATCTGTTCCCGATAGTTACGTGGCTGCTTGCACTAGTGTTTTGCCGTGCAAATTTGGACCAAGTTAGGGACGGGGAATCGACGACCGTAACTTTGAGAACGAGGACGACCCGAGAGAATCATTTGATGTTGAACTTGCTAGTCAAGCTTTAGGATATATGATGCATGATCGTCGATGGGCCTTTGCACGATATCGATGATTGAGGGACTCCTGCGATTCCCCTCTTTTTGAAATGGCTGTGTGTTTGGATCTGGGCAACTCTGAATGCTTTCCAAAGGAACGGGTGACAAAAAGGAGTGCCCAAAAACTAAGTCAACTTGCGCCAAACTCTTTGTATTAGTTGCGGATTTGGACGCGCTTCGTCTCGGAAGAAAGGGGTGAGATGACGAGTGAGGAAAGTGGACCGAAACAGTTAGCGAGAGAAATGGGAATATGAGGGGCAACAGAAACTTCCTGGGCCAAAAGAAATGGGTCTGAGTTGGGTTGGGACATTTCCCAAGCTTCCACACTTGGCTATGCCTCCTACTTCAGACGTCAAGAGGCTTAATCCGGGTACTGACTGGGCTGAATTTGAATTGGGCTTGCGATGACCAAACTGGGCTGGGATTGAGGTCCACATCAGAACTTGGAGCTTGTGGTTATTTCCAAGAAACAGGAAAGATCTTTGACTTTGAGTCCAATATAGATCTTAGCAGCTCCCCACCCCTGAAGCTTTGGCGTTGACTTTCCACCTTCTCGAGTTTGGGGTCCCATCCGTATTCAACTTTACTTGTGCAAGATGCAATCGTACTTTTTTGAGTTGTGTTCTCTTTTGACACATCTCTCGAGCCAGAAGGAAGATCCCCGAAGATAATGGAAAATGGGTCCACGAGGAGACATGCATGTGAGCTGTGGAACTCCCAAAAATACTGTAAATTCGTCCTCCCACTAGGCCCTACTTCTTAGACTGCTGCACCCTAGTAATCATATAAACACCAACCAAATCATTTCGACTAGCCTAACTTCTTTGACTGCCCCACCACACCCTACTACTGAACTTCATTATATAAGCAAAAAACTTTAATATCCATAAGACGGCACCATATTCATCTATAGAGTGTTAGGTTTCTCGTTAGGTACAAGACCAATATATATATACAAGAAAGGGTATAAGTGTAAATACATACAACTCTAAGATATACAATATAACCTAATATATACAATACATCTAACACACCCCCTCAAACTCAAGGTGGGTCAACCAAAGAGAGTTTGGAAAGAAGAGCATCAAAACGTTGTGATGTGAGAGATTTGGTGAAGAAATCGGCAAGGTGAGTTGCAGAGGCTACAAAAGGGAGAGAAATGATGCTTGTCTGAAGTTGATGATGTGTGATGTGACAATTGATGTCGATGTGCTTGGTACGCTCATGAAAGATCGGATTTGTAGCAATGTGAATAGCACTCTTGTTGTCGCAATGAAGAGGAATGGGAGCAGAGGAGGCAACGCCCAGATCAACAAGGAGACGACGAAGCCAAATAATCTCAACTATAGTGTTGGCCATAGCACGATACTTAGACTCAGTAGAGCAGCGAGACATGATAGGCTGCTTCTTGGCATGCCAAGAAATCAAAGAATCACCTAGAAAAATACAAAATCCAGTGATGGACTTGCGATCAATAACATCCGCCGCCCAGTTAGCATTAGAGTAAGCACGAAAAGCAAGTGAGGAAGTCGATGAGAGAAAAACAGAGCGTGTCATAGTACCACGAAGATATCGGAGAATCCGGAGTACAACAGCATAATGAACTGTGTGAGGAGTCACTACAAACTGACTGACAAGATAAACAGCATAGGCGATATCAAGACGAGTGGTCGTAAGATAGATAAGACTGCCAACTAGAGCCCAGTAGTGAGTGACATTAGACAAAGGCTCACCATCATCCTCACGAAGCTGTAAATGAAGTTAAACAGGAGTAGCTGCGGTACGATTATAAGATAATTCAGCACAAGTGAGAATGTCAGCTATGTACTTCTGCTGGGAGAGAAGAATACCACGTCGACTACGAGCAACCTCAATATCGAGAAAATAGCGTAAGAAACCCAGATTCTTCATAGCAAACTAATGGTGAAGATGTTGCTTAGTATAAGCAATATGAGCAGAGTCATCCCCAGTAATAATCATATCATCAACATAGATTAGCATAATAGTACAACCAGTAGGAGAAGTGTGAGTAAACATAGCATGATCATTTTCACTCCGAATAAAACAAGCTGATCGAACAACATTTGCAAAACGCTCAAACCAAGCTCGAGGAGCCTGTTTGAGACCATAAAGGGCTCGATGAAGACGACAAACTTGACCAGGAGAATGAGCAAGACCAGGAGGTGGCTGCATATAAAGTTCCTCCTGAATGGCCCCATGACGAAAAGCATTCTTCACATCAAGTTCAAATAGAGGCCAATTACGAATAGAGGCTACTGCAAGAAGAGTGCGAACGGAAGTCATTTTGGCAACAAGAGCAAATGTCTCGTCATAATCAATTTCATACTCCTGAACAAAATCACGAGCGACGAGACGCGCTTTATATCGCTCAATACTATCATTAGAGCGAGTCTTTGTTTTGAAGATTCATTGACAAGATATCAAGGACTTCCCTGGTGGAAGAGGCACAAGGTCCCACGTACCAGTGCACTTAAGAGTAGACAACTCCTCAGACATAGTGCCACGCCACTCAACATGATGTACTGCCATGCGATAATGTGACGATTCCTACAAAGTGTGGACAACAGCCATAAAAGAACCAAACTCATCAGAATAACTCGTAGCCGCCAATACCTAGCTGGAGGACGACGATTCGTAACGGTGGGCGAGAATCGTCAAGAGGCGTCGGAGTGGCAGGTGAAGTAGACGAAGGAGGAGGCATAATAGGAGAATGTGGTGACACTGGGTTAGATAGCGAAGACATAAGAGGAGGATCATGAGGTGAAACAAGAGGAAAATCCATAAAAACAGATGGAGCTGACTGTGAAGAATTAGAAGAGGCGGAAAAGAATGGTAGGTGCTCAAAGAATTGAACACTATGAGAGATACGAATACACCGTGAAGAGGGATCATAACACCTGTAGCCTTTATGTTCTGTGCTGTAGCCAAAGAAAGCACACCGAATTGACTTGGCGGAGAGTTTGGTGTGCTCATGGGAAGAAAGAAGCACATAACACGTACAACCAAAAACACGAAGGTGGTGATAAGTGGGTGATTTCGAGAAGAGACGTTGGTGAGGAGTGGCTTTAGAGAGGACAAGAGAAGGAAGTCGATTTATGAGATAAACTGCAGTAGAGAGCGCTTTAGCACAAAATTCAGGGGGAACATAATTAGACAACATAAGAGCATGAGTAGTATCCAAAATTTGACAGTGTTTTCACTCAGCAAAACCATTTTAAGCATAAATACCGGGACAGGACAACTGAGGTAAGGTTCCCTGAGAAGTTAAGAAAGAACAAAAAGTTGTAGAGAGATACTCCCTATCCGAATCAGAACGAAAGACTTTAATAGTTTTAGAGAATTGAGTAAAAATCATGGTTGTAAAAATTTTATAGATAAAGAGAAATTCATCACAAGAATGCATGAAATAAACCCAGGTATAACAAGAATAATTATTGATAAACGATACATAATACTTAAAACTGCTTCTAGAAATATGGGGGGGCAGGACCCCAAACATTTGAATGTATTAAATCAAAACAGGCATTAGAAACAGAAGAGCTAACAGGAAAAGGAGGTGCACATTGTTTAGCTAAAGGGCAACTAGTACAAGGACGTATAACAAATGATGGAACAAGCCCAAGTACACCCTGCTGACGCATAAAAGACAAACGAGATGCAGATATATGACCAAGACACTGGTGCCAACGGTCAAGGTCGAGGATGGCAAGAACAAGTTGAGTTGAGGGAAGCTGAAGATGCTGCATCGTATACAATCCTCCATGTCTACTACCCCTGCCAATCGTCCGGCCACTCATACGATCTTGCACAACACAAGAATCAGAGGTAAATGTCACAATATAACCCATATCAGCAAGTTGCCGAACAGATAAAAAATTAAGAGCGAAATTCGGTATATGCAACACATTAGACACATACAAATTGCTAGGGATAGTAAAGTTGCCATGCATAGTGGCAGTAAGAGAGGATCCATCAGCTGTAAATAACTCTTCTGGATTTTTAAGTGTAGTCTATTGAGTGAGATGCTGAGCAGAGGCAATCATGTGGTGAGCAGCACCGGAGTCAAGAATCCAGGAGGAATTATCACTTGAGGATTGCATAGCAGCTGCAGTAGCAACTGAGGAAAATGCACCAGAAGAACCAAGATGAAGTTGAGCTAAACTAGAAAGCTGAGCCTCAATAGCAGCAAGACGATCATCCGAAGATGAGGATGAAGTGGCACGGTCCACGGATGGAGAAGGGAAAGGTGCAACTGAGCACGAGGATCCATTAAAAAGATCACGCAACTTCTGAAAACATTGATCCTCCGAATGTCCATTTTGCTTACAGTAGTTACAAAAAAAACGTGAACCTCACTGAGAAGAGGTACGCTGAGATGAGCGACGTTGGGAACCATATTGAGAGGAATTGAACTGGAAAATAGGTTATGCGGTGGCAAGTACTACAGAGGGATCTAGAGATGGAGGAGCACCAAGACTTCCTCGTCTAGTTTCCTCGGCCTGAAGTTCCTTGGCTACATTAGAAAGAGATGGAGCAGGATAACGATAGAGAATTTGACTACGAACTCCCTCAAAATCTGGTGAGAGTTGCATCAAGAATTTGTAGAGACGATACTTATTCTGATCTTCAAGCTTTGATGCAACACAAGTAGTGTATCCAGCACACGTGGGACATGCTGGACGAGCCAACACATCAAGTTGAGACCAAAGAGACGTCATATAATTATAAAAATCACGAACATATCGTGTACCCTGGGTGGCATAATGAAGTTCCTACATAAACTGATAAATACGGACAAAACTTGTTTGTGTATACATCTCAGCAATCTGATCCCATAACTGTTTTGCACCAACAATTTGAGAAAATTGGGGGCGAAGATCAGGGCTAATAGAGCCAAATAAAATTGTCCATGCTTTCCGATCAGCAACATGCCAAGACTTAATTTCAGATTGACGTTGATCAATTTGATTAGCACTAGGTCTGGGCTCAGCAGTATCAGACAAAGATGTAGGACAAGGATGAGTACCATCAACATGCTCATATAAATTACGATAAACAAGAGCAGCCATCACAGAGAGTTTCCAAATAATATAATTGTAACAATCCAACTTAACATCAATACGATCATTGCTATCAGCCATGATTCTGAGATTGATAAATCAAAGCGGAAGCAATAAGATATATGAGTGAAGAAGAGAAAACCCGAGGTCGATTGCGAGAACGAGGTGAAAGACAAAGCAGACTAGATCGATCGAGACAAAGTTGAAGGAGAACGGATCACAATGAAGAAGTCGGACGGATCGCGAAGTCAGCACGATGAAGACAACGTCGGACGGCCACAGTGAAGAAAAACCCTAGCTCTGATACCATGTTAGGTTTAGAGAATTGGAATGGATACGTTTTTCATTAGGCACAAGGCCAATATATAGATACAAGGAAGAGTATAAGCGTAAATGCATACAACCCTAAGATATACAATATAATCTAATATATACAACATATCTAACATGGAGAATCCAAAGATTAATTAGCCTACTTTTAAACAGCACTATCATTGATTGAACAGGCATAGAAAGTGACAACAACAAGAACCCCATCTTATGTTCTGCTTCCGCATCCGACCGCCTGTTGAAAGAGCTTTGTGAACATAAATGATGGTAAGAAGGAATGGTATCCTCAATTCGCTTCCGTTCAATCATGTATATGCGCTCTTGTTTTACATGTAAAAACATTTCAAAGCTCGGAGCATATGATTGAGAGTTCGCTAAGACAAAAAGCAAATGCCCTTTGTTTCAATCTAAGGCTGAGTTATGTTTACCTAGACTCATTCTATTGGACCGAAAAGGTACATGCCCCGCTGTATTTCCAACTCCACATTCTTTCTAGCGAAAAAGAAGAAGAGGAAGAAGAAGAAGAATCACATCGTAATTCCACGCATTAACGTATCCCTCAAGGGTAGCTGTGTCTCGATTAGAATAATTCTCTCACGTGGGGCACGCAAGCATCCAGAGTTGTCATCTCTTGTTTAATAGGATATATGCTTAGTCTAGATCACGAGAATTCAGAGCTAATAAAAAGTGCACATGAAGGCCCCTCCCAAATCTTGCCAAACTCCCAGACATGTCCGATTAAACAATGCGGAGTTTTTGAAACCAGGGACAGCAAGAAGTTCTGTGCCATGTGGGGTCGCTCCCACCCAAGCTTAAGGCTCAGCCAAGGTATCATTAAAAGCTTATCGAGCTCCAATAAATCACGCCCTTGTGCATCTTTTCTTGAAATTGATAAAAGAAAGATTTTCTAGACAGAAACTGTTCCATCAATCCCATCCCTTAATTTACTCTCTAGGAGTTTTATGTCGGCAGATTCCTGTTACATTGTTGGAACGAAAAGAATAATAAAAACTTTGGAAATTTGGAATAAGAGCACGAATAGTAATTGGAGGGAGAATTTCTTATTGAGAATGCTTTCTCTTTATGGCTTCGTGTTTTTCTTGATTTACAATTCACGATTTCATCCCTTCACATAGGAATTGAAGTTCACAAATGCCAATGATTATATTTACCAAAGAAAACATAACAACCCATAATTATTAAGAAAAATAATAAAACAGCTTAATCTGTCAAAGAAAATAAAGCCAAGTTGAAGCCTTTATGACTCTTCTTTAATGCTTGCAGCTTAACCGACGTGCACAATCTCACCATAATCAATTTTATGTTATTCCAACGGACATCACCGCCTTCTCCACATGAACTCTCCATCTTGTTCTTTTTAGCTTAGCTAGTTCTGGTTTCAAGGCAACTTAAAAGCCCACCTATAATTAGATGACAAAGCCCCGTTTTTAGTCTCTTTCTGGTCCCGTTTGTTCTCCACATGAAGAGGAGAAGAAGACTTCCTTGCGATTCATCTGTCGCCCTCCATCTCATTCGTGCACCAGTTTAATCAAACCACAAAGCCCTATACACTTTACTTACTTAGCACTACTCGTGTCCCGTTCATGTGTGTACTATCGTTTATCTCCTAAAGAAGGACAGATTCTACTCACAACAACAACTCCCTCGGGGATCACTCACTCACTCCCCTAGCCCACACTGATCTTCAACAACAACAACCACCATGATCACTGGGAGGGACATGTACGACGTGCTTGCGGGGGTGGTGCCGCTCTACGTGGCGATGATCCTGGCCTACGGGTCAGTGCGGTGGTGGAAGATCTTCACCCCGGACCAGTGCTCGGGGATCAACCGGTTCGTGGCGGTGTTCGCCGTGCCGCTTCTCTCCTTCCACTTCATCTCCACCAACAACATATATGCCATGAACTACCACTTCATTGCTGCCGACTCCCTGCAGAAGGTGGTCATTCTCTTCGCGCTCTTCCTCTGGCACGCCTTCACCAAGCACAGCAACCTCGAGTGGATGATCACCCTCTTCTCTCTCTCCACCCTGCCCAACACGCTGGTGATGGGTATTCCTCTTCTCAAGGCCATGTATGGCGACTTCTCGGGCTCTCTCATGGTCCAGATCGTGGTGATGCAGAGCGTCATTTGGTACACCCTCATGCTCTTCATGTTCGAGTACCGAGGCGCCAAGCTGCTCATCAACGAGCAATTCCCCGAGACCGCGGGGTCCATCACCTCGTTCCGGGTCGAGTCCGACGTTGTCTCGCTCAATGGTCGTGAGCCGCTGCAGGCCGACGCCGAGATCGGTGAGGACGGGAAGCTCCACGTGGTTGTCCGCAGGTCCAACGCTTCCTCCATGATCTCATCCTTCAAGTCTCATGGCCTCAATTCCATCACGCCGCGTGCCTCCAATCTGACGGGTGTCGAGATCTACTCAGTGCAGTCATCCCGAGAGCCGACTCCGAGGGCTTCGAGCTTCAACCAAACGGACTTCTACGCCATGTTTGCGAGCAAAACGGCAAGCCCCAAGCACGGCAACAACACCAGCAGCTTTCAGGGAGGATGTCCGGACGTTTACTCGTTGCAGTCGTCCAAGGTGGCGACACCGAGGACATCCAACTTCGACGAGGAGATGATGAAGATGAGCAGCAGCAATATCGTGAACGCCAAAAGACGCGGAGGGAGGAGCATGAGTGGAGAGCTGTTCAACGGGGGTCTTGGTAACAACGTCTTCCCTTCGTATCCGCCTCCAAACCCAATGTTTTCAGGGTCGACGAGTGGCAATACGAAGAAGACGAAGGACAGTGGAAACAACAAGGAGCTGCATATGTTCGTGTGGAGCTCGAGCGCGTCGCCAGTGTCCGAAGGTAACATGAGGCACGCTGTGAATAGAGCCACTTCCACTGAACTCGGGCTCGTCGATGCCGCTAAGGCATCTCTTCAACATGCAGAAACCGCTCCTGCTAATTCCAAAGGTACATAACTTATTACCAATTATTGACTCAGTGTGAACTTTTGCATCTGGCAGGTATTTAGGGAAGCTTCAGGATTTGTCTTCTTTTCCATCACCAGTAAGGCCTTCTTATTTTTTTCTGTCCACATGAAGCGGGAATGCAGGATTTGATAGAGAACATGAGTCCACCACCAGGAAAGAGAATAATGGATAACAATAAGGAAGTGGAACAGAATCAGATAGAGGATGGATCAGGTGCATGCAAGTTCCCGGTAAATGGGTCGCCATACACCAACAGCTGCCAGAAGAACGTGGCCGATGAGGAAGAAGGGATTGGAGAGAAGAAGAAGCAACAGATGCCGCCAGCAAGTGTAATGACAAGGCTCATCCTCATCATGGTTTGGAGGAAGCTCATCCGCAACCCGAACACCTACTCTAGTCTTCTCGGTCTCGCTTGGTCCCTCATCTCTTACAGGTAGCATACTCTTACTAGTAAATGCAAAGTCTTTATAATTGGAGTTCTGTAGAACTAGAATGTTTGATTACCTTTTCATTTCTAGGTTACATCACACTGTTTCCATACTGAACTGAGCTCCTATATAAGCTTATGTTCTCTCTCTCTCTCTCTCTCTCTCTCTCTCTCTCTCTGTGTGTGGCAGGTGGAACATTGAAATGCCCTCGATAGTAAAGGGATCCATCTCGATATTATCCGATGCTGGTCTTGGAATGGCTATGTTCAGTCTAGGTATGTAATAAGGACCGCAATTTCGGCTCATCCTTTTAATCCAGAGCGTTAATTATTAGCAATTCCTACTGATAAAGCATAACATAAGGAGTCTTATGCAACCAGGTCTGTTCATGGCATTGCAACCGAAGATCATAGCATGCGGTAAATCAGTGGCCACATTTTCAATGGCGGTGCGGTTCTTGACCGGCCCTGCTGTGATTGCAGCGACCTCCATAGCCATCGGTCTTCGCGGTGTCCTATTGCACGTCGCCATCGTCCAGGTGACAAATCTCAGACTCTCTTCACAACAACTGTTGATGAATTCACAATGACCCCATTAATCATTTAATACGTACCTCCCTTGTTTTGTTGTTGATTCTCAGGCTGCTCTTCCCCAAGGAATTGTGCCATTTGTGTTTGCAAAGGAGTATAACGTTCATCCGGACATACTTAGCACTGCGTGAGTTTCTCCATTAATTCTTCAACATTTGTCTACCCAATTCGAGCTAACCTAATTACCATGTTTGAATGCTAATACACTTCCTTATGCAGGGTCATTTTCGGAATGCTGATAGCCTTGCCCATAACAATACTCTACTACGTACTTCTCGGGGTCTGACTCTCTGCGAGACGAGATGACGCAGAGTGCCAACCCAAAGCTCTCGTTTCAACTCCGATCCGAGTCAGGCCCGAGCTGGATTGATGAACAGCCGCAGTATTTGAAATGGGCATTGCGTTGGAATCAGTGCACAAAAGCATATGATAACATGTCGCATGCAACGAATGGGGTTAGGTTATAAGGCCTTCTTTGTGGCTCGTTTGTTCAATGTAATCAATTTGTTTAGGCTTGTTTTCTCAGCGACAAGTTAGGCGGATAGAGATAGGGGAGACTTAGAAGTTCGTGCTTGATAGGGGTTGAATCTATATGTAATCTTTTATTTTACTCTTTTTTAATGATTTTTGGTAGTGTGCACACTAATATCAATGTAGCTCTTTTCTTCCATTCAACTCATAACCAGCCAGCCAATATAGGTTAAGCCTCAAGCTGTGGACTTTTTTCGGTGGGGCTGTCGCGTTACACTACCTGTTCCGAGTCAAAATATTCCTAATCTCTGCGGAATCTATTGCATGAGCATCGGAGCATCGCTGTGGTAGCGCAGCAGATGACACGAAAATACTTGACTCTGTGCAATCTGAGAGGAAAGAACCACTTCGTGACAAGTTGTCAAAACCGTCCCATAGAACTATCCTAATCTGATTATTTGCATCAGAATGAACTTGGATCATCTGGACGAGGTGTTCTTAAGTGAGACTGGCTCTCAATCTTACAGATTCGCGATACAGGATCGACTTAGTTTAGCATGGAATGCATCGAGTCAATTTGCAACTTTCAAGGGTCACATGAGAAAGTGGGATCGATTCACTTTGTCCATGCGATTTACTCTGTGTCGGCAGAAAGAACCAAGAAGAAAGGAGGGCAGCTTCAATGAGCGCAACGCTAAGTGCCTATATTATTATGGTTCATGTGCGAAATGTGGCTGATAATACTGTACGTTGGAGCATTGTGAACCTCAGAACACGAACTGACACTCTTAAATCTAATAGCACTGCGGGAGGAGCTAATGTACAAGATTTGGTATTGGGGAGAGGCAGATTACTACTAGTGTCCAAACTGACAGCAAGTACATCCTAAAAAAACATAGCTTGGCCTTATCAGAAACAATCGCATCGAATTCAGATCTAAGGTTGGCTTCCGGGAACCAAATGCTGAGATCCCATCAAATTGACCAGCACAAGACAGAAGGGGCCCTCCTTTGAAAAAAGGATTGAAAAACTGGGGACGAGACAAAGCAGACTGGGCCAATACATGTCCACGACAGGAACAAATAAAAACAAACTCCGGTCTATCAATCAATCACGTTGCAGCGTCACTGTTTTTCCTTTTGTCCACATTAATCTCGTAGTTGTCTTGTAGTAAAGTCCAACATCGAAAAATTTAGTGTGGCACGAAATAGTTAATATGTTCTTATTAATCTATATTTTAGTGATTTAAACTGTAAGGGAACGTGGATTTAACTGCATAAGTTAATGGACTCCGATTTTACGAGACTCTCTGGCGGGTTTCACTTATTTGCTCCACCTGTCTAACTAGATTTAATTACACAGAGCACATGCATGTGCTGTATCTTTTTCCTAGCCACTCTGCCAATCGAGGAGACAAGGGTTTGATAAACAACAAGGGCCCGAAGAAATTCTGTAGACCGTAGAGCCGACACCTACCATCCCCAACTGAACGCCAACCTACATTTATATCTCTCTCTCTCTCTCTCTCTCTCTGAGCACGACTCTTTAATGGGTTTTCACTTTAATCTAGGACGGATATGATGGCACTGATAATGGCGTCTTGATGAGTTCCGAGTTCCAAGGTCGTCCCACTGAATTAAATTTCTTGTAGCAGGAATCTGTCAGGTCCCGGCCGGGGCCGGGGGGGAGAGGGGGCGGGGGGGTGTGGGTTTGGGGGGGTTGGGGAGAGGAGAGAAATAGAACAGTTTGGTCCAGCTTTGCTTTGTGTACAGATATTTGTCATGGGATTTATGTAGGGTGCTTGCTCATTTTGGCGTGTTAGATGAAAAAGAAATTTACGGTACCTGGTTTTTCGACGAGATTCAGGAACCTTATACAAAACTTAATGGGTATACACACTATCTGTTAATAACACTGTATACTGATCGAATCGATGGGGAATTGACCCTGATCGGCCATTGCTTTCTCTTGCTAACTCATATGAATTGAACATTCAAGTGGGTGAGAGAATCTTGTGTGCGGTTTCCGAGTTTGCAAGTGATAACATGAGCAACGGGATTTTAAGAGGGGAGTTTGGTTGGGCTGTTTAGTGTAACTTGTAGGTTACTACTTACTTTTAACTAGGGGTGAGTAAGATGAACTACCCAAATCAGGAATCGCCTGAACTGGACCAGACTGACTGAATGGGGCTGGTTTCCAGGAGTATTAGTTTGTTTCCCGATTCCTAAAAGTGAAATCAGTTTCCTGGCAGTCTGATTCCTAGTTCCAGAGTGGGAGTATTAGTTTGGGAACTAGACTAGAACAAATAAATATATTTTTAATTTTTTTTAACTTTTGAAAAAATAGAAACCCTAATCTAATTAATCTACCTTTCTAGTTTCCTTAAGTCCCTGACAAGGTGCTGTATTGCCCTCGGAAGATGGCTTTTATGACTTTTTGCTGATTACCCTCGAGGTTTGTTTTGGGTTATCCTTTTGAACTTATGAAAGATGAGTTTGAGCTGTATCATCTACACCGTGAGAATATGCCGTGTCTTCCAATACATCAGTAGTTTCATAAGTTAGTGCGGGCATTTTTGGAAGTAACTCGTTCTGGCAAATCTTTGCTTGGAGTTCTCGTAGACCGGGATGAATGTGCGGTGAAGCCCACTTCTTGCTTCTCTGCAAGTGAATGTTCTTCTGATATTGTCATTCTCAAAAGGGGCTTTTGTCATTTATGTGTGGACATTTGTACATTTTCACAATTGTACGAAGAAATTGAAACTAATTAAGACCCTCATTGATTTTCAGTTCAGTTCAATAAGTGATAGGTCTCATTAGAACCAGACTGGACCAACGATCCCCAGTCCCTAGACCAAACGATTCAGTCCTCGGTCTCAAAAACTGGGAATCGGTCCTCTTGGTTTGGTTTCCGATTCTTGGGTGCGATCTCATCAGATCGGAAACCGATCACCTTTGCTTTTGACTCGGGTGCTAGTTTTCCTCCACAATTTAAGAAAGGAAGTTGCGAAGGAACTGCCCTTTTGGAGCTCTCATATGAATCTATACATTCATTTTGGGTTCAAACACAAAACCAGTTGAAAGGCCACTGACCAAAACTCTCCTAGGGCCCAAATACACTACCCCCTCCTCTCAACTCTCCCACATGTCCTCTCATGGCTTTTGTTTTTTATGTTTAAGGTTGCTCACTTCTCCCCCTTAGAGCTTTGGTTGCATTTGAGAACACATTGAAGGAAAGTCTTTGGGAAAATGCAAAGGACTTTGAGTTAAAGGAGTTTTTCAAAATGCAAATTGTGTGATAAGTTGTAACTTAAAAGCCCATTGCAAAGCAATGTTGGGTAAAATAGCGTTTGGAAAAATTATTCTTGCAAAATACTTTTTATTTATTTTTTTTAATAGAGAACAGTTCAAACCCTTTGTCGGCTTCAGCAAAGGGCAAGCGGCTCCGGCGAAGTGCAGGCAGCCGCCAACGACCCAAATTTGGTGCCGGCGACGCGAAACCCAAGCGAGGCAACCCTCGTTGGTGGTTGCCGGGGCTGCCTTAGCTCGTTTGGCCTCAGGCAACGGCCTCGTGACACCAGATCTAGGTCGCTGGCGGTCCTCGCTTGGGTTCTATGACCCTCGTCAGGGGTCGCTCGACCCCAAGCAGCCCTTGTCGATGGTCGCCGGGGGCTGCTTGAAGATGTTCAACCTCAGACAACGGTCGCACGGCTCTAGATCTGGATCGCCGGTGGCTCTCAAGGGTCGTCTAGGTAGAACAACCTCAGCCGGCCCTCGCTTGAATCACGCGGCGCCTCTCTCAGGTCATGCGAGTTCTCGGCAAGGCCGTGATTGCGCAACCTCAGGTGGCCCTCGCCTAGGTCGCATGGCCCATCACGGCGGTCATGCGACCCTAGGCGACGGTCGCTGGGTTGAGCGACCACGCCAGCCCCTCTCCGGCCCATCACCATCCCCTCATCGCCATGCCACCAAGCTAAGCAGAAAAGATGATAAATAGTAATCAACGAGGGCAAAATCGGAAAATCAAAAAATAGATGAAGGTAGATTTGGAAGAAATTTTTTGTACTTATCCGGGAGTTTTGCATGCCGAGAAAGCTGAAAGCCCAAGACAGCCTAGGACTTGCCTTGGACTTTCAGCCTTCACAATTCACAAGGTTGACTTTTGTTGAACAGGGTTTCTAAAAAAATTTTCCAAACACCAAATTTTAGTCCAAAGAGCTTTGGATGCCCAAAGTGACTTGGTAAAGCCATTCCCAAACGCACCCGTTTATACCTCACCAATTTGCCCCGCTTCATTCATCTCCACCAGTCAAACTAAACCATAAGACGCCGGCAATTATAGCATGCCAAATATGCACTGTGACAGTCGTCGAAATCTTTCTCTAAATTCCTACATTGCTAAAATATGCACACCTCAGCTCAAAGAGGGCATCACTATGCAACAAGCAAATCCTCTCAGGAACATATCTTGCTACCCATATGGGTTTTACAAATCAACCATGATTTGGAGAGAGCTATCCTGCAACGTCCTATGAAATTAAATAAATGGAACGAAACAATGTGTGGGGGTCAGTGACACAGCAGTTTTCTTGTCTTCTGAGATGTTGAGTATCAATCTTCCTAGTGTGACTGCTGAGCAGCGGTCTAGACAGCTTCAGACCCGAAATTTCCATCCTGAGTATTGCCATTTTCTCTCTTCAGTTTCGACTTTGGTAAAGAGGCTTGACGGGAAGTTGCTTTGCTGGGTTGTTGTTTCTGGTTCTGTATATTCAGATAAGTGTACAAGGACATGCCACCGATCGCTGCAAATGCCCCTGAAATGCTTGTTCTACCAGGATTGGAACTGAAAATGTAGTAATTTCCTAGAAGAATAACGCATGTCTTGAACTGTCCAAGGACTACGTGTGTTATGGCAGATGTAGCCCTGTGAAAGAATGAAAGAGAGATAGGATGAGATATTACGACCTAGTGAACATAATGCAAATAAACACTGCAACTAGCCATACATTGAACAAAAAAAAAAAAAAACTAGCGCTACTGAAGGCATCTGAAGTTCTGAACAGAGTCCTTAGTTTCACGAAGCTTGCCAACAGCCAATCAATGGGTGCCGCAGCCTTTGTACAAGTTTTTGTTTTCATAATCATACTACTAAAGGGAACGTAGGAAGGAAACTGATCTGAGTGTACAAGAAGAAGATGATTTTGAGTTCCTTGTCCCCTATCGAGTCACCAACGAAATATTCAAAAACCATGGTACTTGGCAAAGTACCCCTTACTCTAGCATTTTCATAAGTCCACTCCTGAGATATCTAGAATTTTGTTTCGTCTAATAAGGGAGCCCACTGGAAAACCACGATGCATCACTATTGACAACAACAATTGCAGATGACAAACCACATCATGTATCAGAGCTAGGCAGAGCCAAACAAAACCCAAAATATAACTCGAGACGAGTGCCAGATTTCACGTACCCCAGTGCCAAAGCACCGGACCACTGAAGCAAGAATCCGAGAAAAGCTGACATGAGAATGGCCGCTGTGTTGTTGAAGGTCCAATCAAAAGAGAAGGCGCCGGGGGGATCAAGCCAAGGAATTAAAAGCACAAGGAAAACCAGGGTGATTGGTGTTGTCTTCCACATTAACCTGCTCAAGAATTTCGGAAGATGGTAAGCTTGAACAAGGTGTAAAACAAAGAACAAGTCTTTGCAGAAGCAAATGACGTACGCCAAAGCTGTCCAATTCTCCTGCTGTTGCAACCTGGACCACAGAATTTTGTTAACTGCACTTGGGACTATCCATGCCAATGCTACGCACGCACCAAAAAAGTCGAATTGCAAATCTGTAACGGTAGCCACAGCAACGCCAATGGAAACAACTGTAAGTGCAAGCACCTGAAAAATTTACAGTAAGATACCAAAACAGACAGGGAGAAGGATATGTAACATTCAGTAATGATAAATGAAAAAATACCGCATATTCTAATGCAATCAATAGCATCACGTAACACTGACGGATAAATAATATATACCTAAGGCCTTAAAAGAAATCGAATCATTGCATGGGTTGAACAGAAGATCCTGTAAAGAGATCTATTAATGAGCACCATACAGTTTCAAACTAAGGCAACTGTGTGCAGCAGGTAATTCCAGAGAGGATAGAAGAAACCAGATTAACTGCAAAGCTCGTCTTATGGAGAAAAGATTCATTGAAAGACTTTTGATTCAATTGAGCTGGAAAGCTGAAAATCCAAAGCAGATATCAAGGGTGAAAGTATGCTTAAAAACTGAATGATTATAATGTTTTAGGTCAATTCCATATAGAGATGGAGGATCGATGGAGATGTTAATCATTGCTGCAACAGAGTGGCATCGATGAAGTGGTAAATGCAAATAGAGTATCCTCCAATGCAGAATAGCACCCAAAAATCAATATATATGAAACTGTAGTAACCCCAGCTGTTATGGCACTCTATCGGCCAACTAATATCAGACCAATGGAAATGTGATACCCTGTCGAGGACTCTTTATATAGGAACATGTTAGCTTTGATGGGAACATGCTTCTATGCTCGAAATGATAATACACAAGAACAACCACAGTAGCGAAGTTCTAGTGCATGACTTTAATATGTATACCCAGATGAGGTTGATCCAACACTCATTTCAGTGATGAATAGACTTCACAGCCTCAACCGCATAGAGATGACTTTCTTGAACAACAATAGAGTTGGCAAAAATAAAATGAGCACAAATAAAAGTGAACTTTTCAGTGTTCTATCATATAAATCTTGCACGACCAGAATACAAACTTTCAAAGGAAATATGCCTCGATATCATTTCACGAAGTCAACTATCAATAAAAATTACATTGCAAAATACACATTTGGTAGATTCTCTTTCAAACCATCTATCCCCTTTCAAAGGGAAGATAGGAATTTTATGTGGTCAGAATTCAGATCTGTCAAGCTTGTTATAAGGAGGAATAAATCAATGAAGCAGCAACAGCGAGATTTTGTTACTGCATTTATCATTTATCCAGCAAATTAACATGTCAGTCTTGAAGTGCACATCCACGAGCTGTAAATCACATCAAACTGGGATTTAGACGATCTCTTCCATATCATAATTAGAAATTATATTCAGGCATATAGTTTGCATAGATAAATGGATGAGACGCTTTTTCTCTAGATGAGACGATTATCATATCAAACTGGGACTTAGACGATCTCTTCCATATCATCATTAGAACTTATATTCAGGCATATAGTTTGCATAGATGCATGGATGAGACGCTTTGTCTTTAGATGAGACGATTACCTTCAAGAAAGATACTCTTTTGTCGTAGAAAATGAATTCAGCCAGAACAATTGATGGTGTTACAGCAATCTTGGACATCTGATAAAAACCCACACTGAAGGGTACACATGAATCACACACTGTGCATCACCAACAGAGATTGTAACAATGAGAATAAAGAAACCATTCTCACCTATTGTACTTCAGGCTAACATTAGCAAGGCCAGTTGACAGAGACATCACGACCCCCAGAGTGAATAAGGAAGTTAAACGGCTTGACTTTGAAGGAGGGGATGCAGGAAGGATGGAGAAAACGTTCAGAATAGCCATTAATACCCAGCTTACTACATAGTGAATGAAAGTGAGAAATATAGGGAACTCGAATCCAACATTCTTAAGCACCTGAAAAGCCAGAAAGTCAAAACATTGTTCATGAACCAGGCCAGACAATGGGCTACATTTGACAATGCTTGTCAAGATAGGTATCGCATGAAAACAGAGGCACAAACCAGTTTATTCGTGAATATAATACCGACAGCAACAACAAAATTGAACGAAAGAGCAACAATTGGTCGACATATGCGTTGCTGCTGACGCTTGGCACCCTCAGACGAGCGAAATTCATTAAACAAAGAGGCTCGCAGGTCTTCCAGAGCTCGTCCTGCGTTTAATAGGAAATTTAAGCAAAACTAAAACATTACAGATAATGAAAATCATCTAAGTTTAAAACTTATTCGAGTAGATCAAAAGTAACCAAGACACATTACACAAAAGAAAATGAAATTAAAAATCTTACAATGAAAGAACCTGAGCCCCAAAACTTATGGCTGCTTAAGAAATCGACTCTGAACAATTGATCAGAGGTGAATTAAGAAGCTTAAATTTGTGATTCAAACTGTGTATGACATCTCAAAGTACCTTTACCATGTAAAATGGATAAAAGAAACATAGAACAAGAAAGGCAAAAACATGAATGTAGTTGCACATCTTTTTCCAGTCTTTTGACGTTCTATAAGTAACACCCAGACACGTCCTTGACAAAGACAAAAAATTCCAAGCGTCGCAATTGTATAGAAAGCATTATTATACTGAAGGAGAAAAACTCTTGAAAAGAGAATAACTTGATCAGAAACACTCGAACAGAGGAAAGTAGAGAGCAAATACTCCTAATTAACACGAGGGTAGCTAGTTAGAATCATCAAACTGAAAGAAAAAGGGAGCCCTTTCCATGGATAATGCACAGTTGCGCCTCCTGTGGAAAATTTGAAAATTGAAGAAATTATAGAGCACTTAACCTCACTCAAGACATGCCAATGTGAGCTTGAAAACGAGAAACCTCTTCCACTGTACAATGCCCCCACCCACCGAAAGGAGGAGAAGGAGAGAATTTAACATTTTAACCTTCATTCCGGCCTAAAATCTAGCCAACACGGAAAATAACAACAACGGCAACCGCATTTCGAATTCAAAAAGAATTCCTTATGTGAAGGAGATGTTTTGCTCCTTATTCTTAGCCCAGAAGATTAACACTTGTCGCGTGAAGACTTCTGTTACCATCTATCCGCGAAAGACTATACAACATAAGATAAATGCAAGGCCAGAGAAGCAAAAAAAAAAAAGAAAAGAAAGAAAAACCATGAACTGTGCATCATCTAACACAGACTAATAAATCGAGATTCCATAGAACTGAAAATTGGTTTCAGGCTCCTGCTTCTCAGATCAACGAAATCAAACATACGCTCCACTCCAACTATTGGGAAACAAACTACATTGCAAAAACTAGGCGAGAACTCAAGAATCAAGTATCCAAGAGTTGATGAGCGAGTACCCAAGTGGTAAAGCAGTTACCTTTTTCACCAACATCGCTGTCCTTGCGCTTCAGAATCTTCCTCACATCTTTCTTTAGCAAGAAGCTAAGCATTTTCATAATCAATGAAGGGGGAGCAGCTTTCACTCCTCTTGCTGCGACCGAGACGACATGATCAAACGAGCAGTTCCAACAGAGCCCTAAACGCCACGAAAACAAAAGAATTCAGTGCAAGGGTGCAGTGGGAATCGTCCCGAAGCAGCGGTTGTCGGGCTTACCCAGTATATAAATCTGCAATACCCTTCTGGGAAACAGTTTTCCCGAAGAAGGAAGATGGTGGTCCGTACTGGGTAGTGGGAGAAGGGAAGAAAGATTGCAGTTTTGAGTTCAAAAGTGCCACCAAAACCGATGACGGGCACAGGGGTCCTGCGAGCAAAACAAAAAGGGGAGGGGGGAGCGGTCGCACGCAAGGATCGAGGACGGACACGTGGGTCATACGCGAGCGTTGATGGCGGAGAACGGGAAGCTGTCGGGGAGGGGTCGCGAGAGAGAGAGAGAGAGCGGAGAAATTGAGGAAATCACGGTCACTCTCTCTCTCGCAATCACAGTCGCAACAGTATCTCCAATTTTCTCTCCCCCTTTTTTTCTTTGGACAGTGACAACGAACAACGAGTCGCCAACAGGCAACAGTGGTCGGGACGACGGCAGTCGGCGATGCAGACCGAAAATTCGGCCGACGTTTCGGTCGAATGTAATGTAATCTAATTGGCGGATTGACCCAATTAATGTCCGGTTTTTGAGGTCCTTATTGTATAATATTTCAAGTGACTAGTGTTCATTATGACACCATGATAATGTTTTCGCCACTAAAATTTAGGAGTGACGTGAGGGTTTTGCAGAAATCATGCGTGAATTAACTTGGAAGAACATCAAGAGGAAAGTTCGTTTTCGCACCGATTTGTGAATCTACTTTTGCCTTCTGCAGCACCCATCCTGTTGCTCGGTGGAGTTAATCATGGATTTAACTATTGAAGGGCATGCCTGGCCCGAAAAGCAAACGGAGGATCTAGACGAGTTACTACGTTTTTTCTTGGGCTCAAGCAATGCAATATCTTACATGTAAATTCAATCGTCAAATAGCCTGCTCAAACCCACCCGATAACGTATGTGTCATCAAACTACGTCTAGTTTCAAAACATCTTGCGAATCCGAAACATTTTAGCCGTTCTAATTATATTCGGCGCATGAAAAAGAACTGCCGCAATTGTATCCATGCTTAATTAACTCTGATTAGTCCTATTCATTTGGAATTGTAGAATTGAAACGCGATCTTCTTTCGCCCTTTAACGTTCTACTACCGAAATCAGATGTCCACCACTCACCATAAGCTTATCGAGTGATGGTGCGAACCCAAGGAAGCATACGTTAACAGGTCTTTTTCGAACTGAAGAAAGTTCGTTTCCGGGTCATATTCGAAGATGGACAGACTAGCCTATGTGAATTGTTCAGATAGCAACAACGACAATTGGCATTTCAAGAACCGACGTGGGCTGCAGGAAAAGAAAAACGCTTATTGAAAACGAAATTTCCCGTTTTTTTTTTTAAATCAATTTTTTTTTCATTTTTCATATATTCTGACAAGCGTGCATCAGAAAATTTGTTGCAACAAACTGTTTAACTTCCACTATAATTCAGTTTATCAGCAGTCCAGTGACTCTGATAACTCGAACCCCAACTTGCTAATTTCTTGGGGCCCATTAAAAGCTTATTCTATAATCAAAGATGGGTCCTCCTGCTTTGTTTCGAATTTCGATACAAAGTATGATAGATTAAGTACCTTCATCATAATAAACAAACAACGTATGTTGAAGATGGTGAAGTTTGTCTGAAATGAACCAATGGAAGATCTACTTCAAGCCTTCGAGGACTCGGGTCAGGTGATGTTCACATGAAGATGAGACCATGGGCAAGGGAAACAGCCATTTTAGTCGATCTCTCGAGATGGTGCTTGAGATTTTTGGATGACAAACAATCCTTGATATCTCAACATAAACTTGAGAAAAAGCTACCTGCTCCACTTTGGCCAAAGTTTTTACAACTTGGTATGGTATGGGTTTGGTGCTCAAACAAAACACCCCGATGTTAGCTTCGCTTTTGTTTGGGAAAATTCCATATAGCCTCCTGCCAATTCTCGAAGCACCCCTTTATTCGAGGATGAAAAAAAGGGGACCGCCGTGTAAATATTCTAGGATCTTCAAGAGAGATGGAGAGAGTATCAATAAATGTTACATTTTTACTTAATTGGCTACCTTTTATATTTTACTGAAGAAGGATATTTATACCCGAACAATATGCATATGACAGGAAATAATCTAACAATGAAATTAACTATCTTAGAAAACGACAAAATATCAAATATATATATATCTCTAATATATAATGATATATCTAATAATATTTTATAATAGGAAATTCTCTAATATCCATACATATACTACAACAAGCCAAGCCGGGGGTGCATGTGTAAATCACATGCACGGCTTAAGGGCATTTGTGTCCGGAAATTTCATTTGCCTCGGGCAGAATTTTGTAAGGAAAAGAAAATCAGAATTAATTAGAGATTGGAAAAGAGAAGAGAGAAGCAGACGGAAGGGGAGGAGGGTGGTGGCAACTCTCAAGCCATAGCTATGTCAACCGTGTCATATTCGGCACGTCGATCTCGACCACCCAACACAATTTGTCGCTAGATTCAATAGCCCCACGCGGGGGGACTTGCAAACAGTGAAGTGGACGGACCTATAAACAGATTGGATGGCCGGTAGAAGATAATTTATGAACAATTTTCTTGATTAGATAGCACCGAGAAATCATCAAATTATCACATGTTTGTCGCGAAATCAAACCAACAAAGACGGCAAATGATAAAAGTTACAGAGGTCCTAGAAAAAATAATAATCCCGAGTTAATTTTAATCTCAACAATTGAAAATAACAACCGGATGGAAAACAAAACATGACAGATTTTTCTTAACTTCGATTTTAAGAAATAGAACTATGTGGGTACTAATCAATATGTCATCAACATTGAAAGAAACCTTATTTATATTTTCAAAATTAGTCAAAGATATGAAATATTTCTAAGCTTATTATTATTCAAAGCAGATTTTATATTTTTCCTTTGCGCAACACGCGGGACAAATTCCAAGTATATGCTCATCTTCCAGCCGCCCCCTTTGGTCGAAAGACAGGCACGATGGATGAATATGTATATCTGCCATGAACTTGGGAGCTGACCAACTCGTTCTTTATTGTGTTTTTTTCCAAAAGACATCGATGTATTCGGTCGTTAAAGCCAACGAAGTCGGAAACACACATGCATTTCAAATGGCGACCATCAAGATCTTTGCACACCAAGCGATTCCGTGGTTTAATCGCTTGAAGTAAATTCGACCTTAAGAAAACAAACTTTGGTTTTGTGATATCCTTGGATTAACTCACGGAGATATTATTCGCTTTGGCCCGATTCATACCGAATCTTATAGTTTTGTCCTTTGTCGTACATGCGGACGTCCATCCCGGTAGTGCTTCCGCTTGAGAACGCTTAACTTTGGAGTTCCAAATTAGTCTACCATTGTTATTATGTTAAAAGGCGTTTTCGTGAGTTAATTCCAGTTTGACACGCACATATATATTTCAGAATCGCTCTTCTCCCTATTCGGTGTACATTCCAGCTCATCGCCTTCCCTTGCCATCCTAGAAGCCTGCCGAGAGCTGCTCCTTCAGGCCGTCTAGCCCCGATGACCACTTTCCGCCCTTATCGGACCAGATTGTTACGGGGTTGGTATCGACTTAGTTCAGTTGGAGACTTGATTATCCGTTGGTTTGTCTTTGCCCCTTAACGTATCAAGGCACACGTTAACGTACGTATTGATCATGAGCAAGTTTCGAAACAGTTAACGTAAGCGTACCTCTCCTAACCGTTACCTAAACCAACAAGCCAGGTGCGAGTTCTAAGTTAATTAAGGGGGCTTTGGACCTGCATACTCCACCTCCATCGTTCTGTTTCCAAGCAACATCAGCTTGTCAATGAAGATACACACATGTACTTTGATCCAAGAAGCCATAAGCTTATAGCTAGCTACCGCGAAGCAGATGATCATTCATTCATTCATTCGACGTTCCGAACGTAGTCGGTGATATGTCCTCGTATTTCCAGATGAATTCGCGCACCATGATGCGCTTGGCCATCTCGCTCGTATGCTTCTTCGTCATCGCCGCCACCTCGACAACCACCGTTGAAGCCTCGGCAGACAAAGCGGAGATGATACGGCAGTTCCTGGACGGCCACAACACAGCGAGGAAGGCGGTGGGAGTGCCGCCACTCGTGTGGGACACGTCGCTCTCCACCTACGCGCGAGTGTACGCGAACAAGAGGCGGGCGGACTGCAAGCTGGTGCACTCGCCGGGGTACGCGTTCGGGGAGAACTTGTTCTGGGGGCAGGGGCGGCAGTGGAGCGCCGCGGACGCCACGGCGGCGTGGGTGGCAGAGAAGCGGTGGTACAACTACGCCAGCAACGCGTGCTCCGGCCAGGAGTGCACGCATTACACGCAGGTGGTGTGGCGGACGACGACCCGCGTGGGCTGCGCCAAGATCATATGCAACTCCGGCGACACTTTCATAGCGTGCGAGTATTATCCTCCGGGCAACTACATCGGCCAGAGGCCTTACATCAATTAAGCATCAGCATGCATAACTTATAAATCCCTTCTTCTTGGTATATATATATATATACACCCACAATAACAGACTGTTGGATTCGCATGGTTCTTTTTCATGTCGTCCTAATGTCTTATAATTCTTTCAAAGTACACCACTTAATAATATGCAATTAACAGCTCCGTACATGACTCATGCCGTATGCCCCCATCAAAGATTATGTCACTTAGATTAGGCCCATCTTTGGTGCGATTGCTATGGTCCGAGAAATAAAAAATGCAGATTCGGAACGAAGTGGCAACTTTGATTGGCTGAGTCGTTATATTTGGTAAATGGGTTTAGAATTGTAAAGCCAAAAATAATCTGAGTGTTAATATGGGTTCATAAATTACTTACACCCAACCCATCTCTATGACTCATTCTCGCCCTCATTCGGTCTCGCTCGCCCATTTCGCTCTCCCACTTCAGTTGGGGAACGAGGTTTCCTAGGCCGGATCAAATGTAGAAGTATTTCAACGTTACGGGTTCGGTCGGTTATAAATCACTAGATTTGCATCGCATGAAAATGGGTCAAAAGGAATTTTTGTGACCCGATCCATCTTTTTGACGGGGTCTAGTGACGAAGTTGGGCTGCAAATTGTTATCTACAAGGCCCAATCCTCTTTAACCTCAGCCCCACAACCTCAAACAAAAGAATTCCCGTTCACTCAGTTCAGCAGTCAGTGCTGATCAGCACCTCAGATCCACCGTTGCCCCTCCTTCCCCTCCAAAAGATGGCCCCGAAGCCGGAGACGCCGAACCCGCCGCACTCCTCCGCCATCGACCCGCCGTCGTCGGCCGCCGCCGCCTCCATCGACCCCCTCTTCCACGTCCTAAAGGTGCTGCCTTTCTCCTTCCTCCGGCCGCCGCGCCTCCGCCTGAAGCTGCCCACCCTCACCCTCCCCTCCCCCATGACCGTCTACGCCCTCGTCCTCCTCACCTACTTCATGGTCGTCTCCGGGATCGTCTACGACGTCATCGTGGAGCCCCCCGGCATCGGCTCCACCCAGGACCCCTTCACCGGGTCCGTCCGCCCCGTCGTCTTCATGCCCGGCCGGGTCAACGGCCAGTACATCATCGAGGGCCTCTCCTCCGGCTTCATGTTCGTCCTCGGCGGGGTCGGCATCGTGCTCATGGATCTCGCCCTGGACAAGAATCGGGCCAAGAGCGTGAAGGCGTCCTTCGCCACGGCCGGGATCTCGTCGGTGGTGCTCGCTTATGTCATGAGTATGCTCTTTATTCGCATCAAGATCCCCGCTTATCTTAGCTAGTGATCCGACTTTTGAGGTTGGCCTGGGGCTTCCTTTATAATCTTTAGCTTCTCAGCTTTTACTTGTTGCGAGATCTCTCTCTCTCTCTCTCTCTCTACATAAGGTTGTGGATTTTGTGCTGCTACTGTTTACTATCATAGATCACAATGACGCTGGGCAATTTGGCATATCTATCGGCTGTTGTCGGTCATCGGTGGCGTTACATTGATGATCCCTGTTGATTCATCTCATCCCCCACTGTGAATTTCACTGTTGAGGTCCTCAACTTTTGCTGAATAGGTAGTCATAACTTAAGCAGCAATATCCACTCTACTTTTGAATTGAAGAGATGGCCGGGGTAAGGTTTGGACACATTGTACCGAGGGAATGAAAGATTGAGCTGGCCGGCTCAAGGGAAAGGGTAGATGAAAATCGCGCAAGGCCTTTATTTTCACGGTTGGGTGACTCAAATTCTCCTCGAAAGTGATAGTCCTGGTTAATCCTCGATTCATGTTAACACCACCCATTGAACAACTAGCGGACATAGCAAATGAAATCTTGCGAGTGCGGGCGTAGCGAGATAGTTTGTTTATGATTTGCGAATATCTCTGCCATTGTCTCACATGGTTTAATTATCTCTAGCATTTCGTAAATTTCTTTCTCAATGTCTGTTTCGAGTTATCGTCTAGACAATATGCCAATGTCGCTTGACAAATTTGCGTATCCCTAGATCAGTTAGGTCCAGTCTGTTGCTAGCTTGACTCATTATGGAAGCAAGAGATATCGCAACAGGGCATGTAGACACTCTGCGCAATGAAAGAATACTGTATGGGCACATATTACGTAATTGTTACTGTAGGAGTTCTCCATTTACTTGTGACTATAACAGATTGTCTCCTTGTGCACGTGACGGATGATTTGGTCGTCTAAAAAAAGGTGCAAATGCTCGAAATTAGTGTTCCCTTTCTTTGATTCACTAAAGATATCTACTTCTCTTGATCTTGCTGTTTATTAGATGAGATTCGCAAGTAGCCATAACTGCTTAACTTCAAGGATATAGGGATCACCTTCTCAAATTGTCCGAAGCTAATTGCCAATATTTTGCACACCCTTTGCCGAAATGTACATTACGTACTGTGTTTTCATTTAAAAAAGAAAAGATATACTGTTTTTCTACGCTTGGGCATGTGCCTTTAAACAATGGCAAGTAGCTTCTAGTTAGTCACTTTCGCCGTGGTTGATTTGAGTCTCTCTCTTATCATCCTGAGAGCATTTTATTGTGCTCTTTTGATTGCCTGCCTAGTTTATTTTCATCCTTATCCTTTCAATCGAATATCAGTGAATCTCTTTCCAGTCTGTCACTTCTTAGCCTTTTCATTTACCCCCTCCGACTTTGTTCAAGGAAGGTGTTCATCCTACCATACAAAGTCAGAGGTGCCTTCATGTCAACCAAACTCAGCAAATTTTTTGAAAGTTGCTTTCACAGATGAGGTTGTAAAGACCAACCAGATGAACCTCATGCTCCTCTGCTGCCTAGATATCCATTTACTTTGATAGCCGTGTCTTCATGTACTCTAGTTGCATGTTATGTATAGCTTATTGTTTCGGGAATTATCCTTTTTTACCACAACCATTGAAAGGTATAACGGCTACCTAGAACTGATTCCTGAAGCATGTCTAAACCATGGGATGGAGGAAACTTATCTTGTTTAATCTTCCTGCCAGCTCTGTCAGTAAGGTGGATATGACATGGTGGACTTCAATAGATACATAGGCTGATTTGTACTCTTACTTCTCATTCAGAGCGTACTCATGCATAATTTTACTTTGAAATCCGTACAAAATGAGTTCAGAGATCATACTTCTTTGCAAATGCCAACATTCAGTGGGTTTATGCCAAGAATCTGTCGAGAAATCTATATCCAGTTTGAATTATACGAGTAGCTTGGACTGAGATGTGTTATTTACTTCTATGGGGTATGGCATTCCTGTCAGCTACTGTCTTAAAAAAGCCAATCTCTCATGCTTCCATATCAGGGTTTGGGTTGTAACTCGTAAGGACTGGTGCACAAGATTCGCATTGTCATTTTGTGTTGGTTATTTAATAAATTGCTGCCCTCACGAAGGCACAGTATTTTTAACTGGTCTTGTTTTGTTGTTCGGACATAATGCTTGTGCCATATCACAAGTCATTATCTGTTGTCTGTTCTTGATAGACGGTTCTGGCTACGGAACTTGCCCATGTGGTCTTGCGCCTTTACTCTGACTAGCTAGAGAGCCAGGGACCTGAGAGTAATAGCACGAAATGACCATTGTTGTATCTGATTGTCTAGCTAAATGTCAATAAGCAACCGCGACTGTGTGAATCAATCCCTCTTGGTGCTCATACAACTGCATCTCATCGGAGACAAGTGCCCACAGTATCTACTGAGGATAGTGCTGTCGGTATTGTTGGAGGTGCAGCTGTAAACTGGAACGCCACTCAGACCAAAGACAGTGTAAAGTATTGCTGTTTGCATTCCTGACAAGTTCTGAACGATTCTTGTTCTGCATTATGTTGCCATGCTCATTGCCTCAACCAACCATCGAAGTCGGGAATGTGAATCGGCAAGTGCTTTAGGACATGGTTAGTTGTTTCATCAAGTTTGCTTCCACCCAGGACAGCGTCCAGGAAGATGACATTATTATTCACGAAGAAGACAGATTTCTGTCTTGCCTTGAAGAACAGCATGAGCTTATACAAGGAGGGTACAGCTAAATGAACCAAAAACACCATAATGCATTTGTATGTGGACTCATCTACCGTCATATGATTTGGGGGGGCGGGTTTCTGTTTTTCTGGTCTAACGGTAACACATACTGCCCTAGTGCTAAAGGACGACCCTTCATTTTGCAACATTCGCACGAAACAACTACTGTAAAAAAACCTTTACAAAACATTAATAAGCATTAATGACTTCATCTCGGAGAGAAGAGGCGGCGCGGTGAGAACCTCCCCATGTATCTCGGCGAGGCAAGTCCAGCAATTCTTTGATAGTCGGATGCCACAAACCCTTCGCTTTCCTCCTGGTTCATCCTACTAACTCGGCTCCCATTGAATGTGCCATACTTGACCAACTTGCCGATCCATGACTTCTTCTTGGCTGGACTTTGATGGCCCGCGTTCATCTTTTCGCTCAAGTACTCCTTCACGGCGGGTAACCCTTGCTCAACGACTTCCACCGGAGGCGAAGTGAGAGGGTTTCCTTCGACGCAGAGCTTCTGGAGCTTCTTGAGACATCCCACGGAGTCTGGCAAGGCCGGGATCTTGTTATAGCTAACGTCCAGCTCGACGAGGGATAACAGTAGGCCTATGGAGTAGGGGAGGGTCTCGAGGCACTGGAAATTTTGGCTAACGTTGAGAACTTCAAGGTTGATTAAGTTCTCCATGTCTTCAGGCAGTGAGCGAAGGCAGTTGAGCCGAGCGTCGAGGATAAGGAGGGAGGTGAGGTGGGAGATGGAGCGAGGGAGGAACACGAGCTTGTTCGAACTGATTAAGAGCTTCTTAAGGTTCAGGAGCTCAAAGCCAATGGTGTCCGGTAGTCTCGTAAGCTGGTTGAAATTGGCATTCAGTTCCTCAAGTGATCTGCGATTACGAGGGGAACAAGTAGTGTTAATTGTTAGTGACCTTACAAGACGTCGAAACATGCAAGAACCTCTCTCTCCCTCTCCACATTTTCAAATCACATCAGTAGTAAGCACGGCATAGTAAGATACTCCACCGAGCCAACTAACCTACCTAAACTGCTTACGCAGGAGACATCCTTCTTTAGAAAACAGACCAAAACATGGTCCCTCCAAAGACGTCAGCGAACGGAGATTTTTGCGTAAAATAAGGTCATCTCTGGCTTTTGTTGCGTTTGATGTAAGGGACAAAAGATCCCAGTTTCACCAGGAGATAACACGAGATTTGTGGAGGCAGCTGTCACTTACATCATCACTCTTTCCGTCTTGTTCCCTCACTCAAATATGACGATCCCGACATCGTCGGCATTTCCATTTTGTTAAGAAACAAGTATGTGTGTGCATCTCCAAGCCACCTCTTCCTCGTACTAACGTCTTATGGCCAAAAGATTTATGTAAACGTCAATCGATGAACTCAGATTATGAGAGAGCTATAGATGTTTGTACAAATTGACTATACACGTCCGCTGCAGGTATGTACATACTCTTTCGAACTAAAGACTCATATGCGGATGCGGTAGTTTTGTTTAATAATTTTTCTTACGTCGCCCATACATGGGCAGACATGATCTTTCTCCATTTCTTGCCACTGAAAATTACGTTCAAATTCCAGATATCTTTCAGCCGATTATCTTATAGCCCATTGATCATCTTGATGTATACATGATCGGTTAAGAATGATTCTTCCCATGTACATGAATTGATTTTTCCCGTTTAGTCAAGAGTTTTGCTAAAGTAATAGCCGATATAGTTATTATAACTGGTTGCATACCCATTTCTTGCACATGCTTATGTATATATTCATCTATTGCTGATAGATCTAAAATGATATTTATACAGTTATTCGAAAGACGTTACCGGTGGTGTAAAAATACCATTACGCACGAAGTGTCTAGAATCTCGACGTGTATACATTTTTTTAAAATTCTAGTTAAATGAACTCATTTCATTAGTAGATGGGATTTCCGTTTTATGACTCTGTAAAAAGTACTTTAAACTATCGGTACAGCCTCTATAAATCAATATTTGCATACTAATAAATTCATACTACTCTATCACTTACTAAATAAAAAGAAAATGATGTATGCCTTAGAATGGACCGAGACATGCTTCGTTGTGTAGTCTATGCTGGCATTTTGGAATGTCTAAAATTCTAATGTCCAGGACAGGTGAAGGAAATAGTGCATTGAAGGGCATTTTTTAACGATTTGTAATTTTATAAAATAGTGCTCTCCAGAAACACATGTAGAAGACTCTTCCTATAAATGATTCATATTAACGAGGGGACTGAAGATTATGGCGATAGCCACGGTAATAATACATGCGAGAATATACAATTATCGTATCAAATAAGTGAAAACAAGCCGATGAGATCATTAAACGTATAGTATCGTTATAGTAACCCAAATAATGCCATGCTGTTTAGTTATGGGCGATTGTGGTATTAATCAATTCTCATCTCTTCTCTCAAACTATAAGTTAAAACTTCAAATAAGCAAAATGAAAAGTCTTACTCCATAGTTGTAACAAATGACAACAGAACATGCTAGCCTTAGCAACTAATTTTAAAAGGGTCAGCTTATGCAATAGGGAAAATGACTTCAATGATTAGAGAAAGCATCCTGTACTCACGGCTTACTTTTTTTCTTTTTTTATCCCCAATTGTCATTAGGGTTCTTATTTTCATACTCCTAAAGTCAAGGCACTTTTCTTTTGCTATGTAACGAAGATAGCAGCTTTTAGCTTTTAATGGTGCTATGTCAATAATTGCATAGCATCATATTGATGAAATTGGAAATTAAAAAAGGAAGTGGAAGAGAAGGAGAGATTAGGATAATAAACCTGCAATTCTCAATAGTCCTGGGGAGGAACTGAAGATAGTTTCCAGCAACATTCAGAACCTTGAGCTTCGAGAGACACCCGATCGAGTTTGGAAGGACCTTCAACTGGTTGGAGTGGACGTCCAGCACCACCACGTTTAGCAATCTTGCCGTCAGCGACTCCGGTATTGTCTGCCATACATTCATTTCCATTTTTCCAGATTTAAGTCTCATTCACCATCAAAAGGACATGAAAATATTAATATACTGGTAATCTTGAAGCTAGCTTTGTGGCATAATGAGAAGGTGTTCGTTCAATATATGCAAATACTACTATCTCTTAAAATTGAATGCTCCTACTTTGTTTCGTCAACTATTGGTTTTTCGAGTCAAGGTTCAAGAAATGGAAGGTTGTTTTTGGTAAGTCATAAGACAATAACCTAATAGTTCTTGAAGGAACTTTCATCTTTCTTCCCGAACCTCATCACACCTTGAGAATTCAGGATTCGAACCTTCATCCTCTTCTCTGACCAAAAAAAAAATAAAAATAGAAAGAACCTTCATCCTCTTCCGTTACTAGAGGAGATAACGCCGAGGCAATTGCCTTTTGTCTGAAATAAAAGGGTGTTACACAAACAGTCAATGAGAGAGAGAGAGAGAGAGAGAGAGAGAGAGAGAGAGAGAGAGAGTCCAAAAGGAGCTATCCCCTAATAAATCTGATCTGAGCGTTCTTCCCCCTTTATCGACGGATGGAAAGAGATGGAAGGAAAGCAAACAAAAAGAAGAGGGCATAGAGAGAGAGAGAGAGAGAGAGAGAGAGAGAGAGAGATGGAGTTGATAAGCATGGAAGATGATAAGTGACCACCAACTTCCTTATAAGAAAATGTGCTGGTATTTATGAGAAGTTGAAAAGCGTATTGAAACTGATCCGGGGACACCGAATTCACTGTCCTTATCTCGGCCAAGTAAAAAAAACCCATCATCAATACTGCAGAGAGAGTATTGAATTGTCTTTGCAGCCGTGCATTTATCACAGCCTCTCACGTGAAGATATGTTAAACAAGCTAGCTTTTTCATGGTGATTTTGACTTAGCGAGACAAGCATTCGTTCAAACCTTCGCCCATCTTGATCCTTCATGTATGCAGTCAATTTTTTTCAGAAGGGCCTTTTCTGGGTGGGAAAGGTAACGAATTGAAACTACTGACATAAACTCAAGAAGAGATAGCCCAAAAAAAACAAAACAATTTCAAGGTGTCGAGAGAGAGAGAGAGAGAGAGAGAGAGAGAGAGTACCTGAAGGTTGTTGTTGGAGATGTCCAACTTGCAAATGAGGGCTAAAGTAAGGGTAGGGTTAGGGAGAGACTCCATGGACAAGCCACTCAGATCCACGACTTCAAGCTTCTCATCTTCCTCAACAATGGCAGTTCCTCTCTTTCTCCGATCCGCTGTCCCTGCCTTCCTCCTCAAATCCAATCTCACTTGCTGCTGCTGCTGCTCGTACATCATCTTCACACCAACCCCAGAAACCCAAACCTCAAAAAAAGAGGAAAAACAAACGCAAACGAGAAAGAAAGCAGAATATTCGAGTGATACGAGCGAAAGAGGAGAGTGGTGGGCTCTGGCGGGATGAGAGAAACAAGCGAAGCCTCACATCACATATATAATATGCCGAGAGACGTACGGATGACGAAGAAAGAAGAGAAGGTTGCCGCACACGTGTGCATGACGTGGTGCTGCTGGAAAGTACAAGGGCCGTATGCAAGGGAGGGCTTGCGTGGCCACGTGTCTTTCCACCATCGAAAGTCAACCCTCGCTTCAGTTCGATACCTTGGCTGCCCGCCTCTCTCGGGGCAGCTCCCTTCGCCCTTTTCCCTTTCCCTTTCTTCTTTGGACCATTTCCTCCCATTTGGTATTTCTTTTTTCCCCATTTTCTTCCCCGTCAAACAAACGAAAAAAAAAATTGACAGATGTGTACACGTTTAGTTTACTAGTGTACTAAAATTATAATAAAGTAATATTATCTAATAAACATCATTGTGTTTGATATATATACTTCTCTCTAATGAATTTGATATCTTACGATCTCATTAGTTGCGATAGTTTTTTTGATTTACTCTTTCATGAATTGGACAAACTCCCTTTGAAGTCGAAACTAATCCTGTCTAGGTCGAGCTAGCATCCGAGTAATCTAGATATTGAAGTCACTAAAATATGGAGAAAATCTCTGAGTTAGATGTCGATGTTCCTCTTGTGTAGAGAAGATAACTAAGAGATGGAAGCGCGAATAACATAATACAAGAAAGGCCCTGTACTTTTATCTCGGTGATCCAAAATTAACAATGTACCAACTACTCTTAAAGGATATGAATTCGAACATACATCACAGTACTATGTACTAAAGATATCGACTTTATGCCACTTCAATCGTGGCATGCTTCCTCAAGTTGGTGTGACGAGGCTGCCCCGGAGAAATATATATAAAATGGAGAGAAACATATGTTAGGATCACTATACAAGATGGAGTGATTGTTTGGTGGGTGGAAGGGGCATCCAGCGCACATATTCGAACTATATGCCCTCGGCCATTGATAGGCATGATGGAACACATGGAGGGTACAGACGGGTCCTGGGATTGACCCGTTCTCCTGCGTGATGACAAGTTGAGGAGGACATCATTACACCTTCTTTTGAAGTTGAAGCCTCATTTTCGGACTATATTATCGGAACCTTGATAAGAGGGTTCGCTTATTAAAACCATATATAAATTATTCTCTTTTGGGCCGCCCTCATTGTAAGATTCTTCATAAACTAAATATCTAGCCATTTATTTATTGACAGATGAACCAACCGCCCATTCGTGAGTTAGCTGGTTGGTGAGATGTCAAATTTTCAGTTCGCCGGATTGTTCTGGCCGACAGTATTAGCTGCCAACCACGACAAGCATGATGACCAGTAGAATTCCTCTGCCTATGCATGATAGTTGATTGATGATGTTTTGCTGCCCAATTGGTTTGCGATTTTTACAGTTGAAATTTAAGGTAGATCAGGCTATTATTTCTCGTGAATATAGTTGATATGTCACATGTAGATCATCAAGGCATTCGATTAGTATTCTTGCCGTTTCGGATTTTTCATATTTTAGTTAAGATAATTATCTGTATTTTGGAAAGTATCTAGTAAAATTGTACTTTGATATATGTATTTATAGATTTCCTTTGGTCCTTCATTGCGGGACATGGAACCTTGAGTTATTGAGTGAAATCATCTCCTTTGAGAATTTGCTTGTCTAGTTATTTTCCCTCGATTTTCTTCCTAAATCTTTGGTGGATTGATGGGGGTCCGAGAAGGATTCAAAGTTGTGATTGATAAGGTGTGATTTGGTGGAGGAAGACCTAAATTATGTAGTCTCTTCCTTTTTGCCATCTTTGGCTCTTCACTTCTAGGATGGACTTCCTAAAAATTCCCAGCTGTATTGCCCAAAATTTATTGGATCGAGCACACATCGATCGGCCGGCACAAAAAGAAATTAAGACACAATTAACAATAGCAAAACATACTTGAAGTCTGTTTCATAAAGTCAACTAATACATAGTCTTGTGTGCGAAATTGGACTTATTTTTCCGTGAGGTAGGGAAAAAAAAAACCATGCATGCGCTTGAATAAGCCTAAATATTGTACTATGGCAATATCATCTTTGGAAGGACAAATTTTATTAGTTGGTTTTTGACATTAGAAAATTAATAGGTGCGATTAAGGAAAAATGAAATAACTGGTCTACGTGATTGTTTCCAACTAATAATCATTATATTGAATATATGTCGATTAATTGTTGTCATGACGACTGCAACATATATAAACTTCATTTGGAGCTTAATATAACTCAAGTAGGCATACAAAAAAGATAAAGATAGCAATTAGGCATAAAATATGTTAAAAGATTCTTTGGATTGATAAAAGCATTAAAAAACGATATTGTTCAAACAAAAGGAATCGATATAGGCACAAACATAATCAGACTTGTCAATGTCTTCAAGGTTAAGAAACCAACCAAAAATAAAAAAAGAACGTGCATCACAAAGCTCTAATATTGACAAATGTGAACTAACCCTGAATTTTGAGGGTAGTACATGTTCGCCCTATCTGTTGAGCTCGATAGATCTGGTTTAACCTCACATCAGCTTTGCCCATCACCTGATCAGATCTGGTCGAGCTCAATGGCGCCAAGACCTTGGAGGCTTTGTCCGTGGCTAACTTGGCGGAAGACAGAGAAACCAGGCTGAGGGATAGATAGAGAGATGTGGCGGTTGGTTGACATGGAGGCGTCGGCATTGTCGTCAAGGCTGCAGCGGCTTCAATCGGGGCCTGCGGTGGCTTCCATTGGTCAGGGATGGAGGCGATCATGGCGACACTAAATAAATAGTAGAGAGAGTCTCAGACCAGTGGGAAGAAAGAAACGGGGAGGGGAGAGATGACATCAAGGTTCAAGCCTTGGAGAAGTCTACCCAATGAAATTCTAAGTAAATTTCCTATATATCACCCTCACTTAGGCATTGCAGATTTCTCTGTCTCAGTCTCATGCTCTAAGTCTAAGCTAGATGTTTTTGGGTCGGTCACCGACATGTTGTTTAAGAGGGTAATTTACTTGAACCCCGTCACCAAATTTTCTCCTGCCAAGATGCAAAACTGCAGTCTATGACAAGCTGTGTCCAGGTTTCTGAGTGAAACTTACTGAAAGTTATTTAGTAGGGAGTTGACTTTTGAGAAGTAGGAGTGATCGAAGCATCAGTTGAAAGGCAAAGGTGGGGCACATGCATGCCAGTCGATTTGCATGCCTCGACCATCTGATAAATGTCAACATAGTATCTTAAGAAAAAGTTTATGGCGACATGTTGCAGTATCTTAATGGAAATTCTTGTACAATTTGGGTGAAAATCGTGATCATTTGGCGTATACACGAGAGCTTAAGTCGTACAAAAGATTGACATATTTAGCATTAATCAGCCACGCAATGTACTGCAGAGATGAAAGATAAGAACAAGCGGGTACTATGAAAATTGAGCACATTACGCAACCGAAACTGAAAGGAAGCCAAGGAACAACAACCAAATTGATGATGACATTAGCGGCATCTATTGTAAACCGATCTCACGGATTTCGTACAAGGACAAAAAAACCTTATCTGAATTATTAATTAGATGGAGATTTCAAAGCTGTTGACAAATGAACACAAACAAATACAAAGACACACACACACGCACACACACACACACACACACACACACACACACACACACACACACACACACACATATATATATATATATATATATATATATATATATATATATATATATATATGTTACTTGTGTATAGGTTTCCGGGTGTTGTAAGGTCCTCTTGCGTTGCGTATGGTCCAACCGGTGATCATGCACCCTTCATTTAGTCAACTTTAATGGAAAGCGAGATGCTCGGAAACATGATGTCCACCAACTGCTTAAATCTTAATATAGCTTTGCTAGGTGGATGAGTACAATTCCTTGTACGATATATATCCGTCGATGACGATTAATGTCGCCCTTATTCTATTGTAATCGGACTCGATCTGCCCATCGATCTTGAGCAATCGCAGGTGCGTATAACCTAGACGAGCCAACGAGTTTGATTTTGCCAGTCTCTAAGCTTTGAACGGTAGCATGATGCGCCAACTTGTGACACCATTTTTCTTCAAATTAAGGAATGAATAGAGAACGATAAGAGGGACCAGGTCAATCGGATCACGATGAAGCGTCGATAGTTCCTTGGAAATGGGCTTGAATTCTGCAGAACACGTGAAGGAATGAAATCGTCCGAAAGCCACCGCAAGCTTGCGAGGGCTGGAGGAGTACAGCCATGTTGGCGTCTGGCATCATGCATTACGTACAATGTGCACCTAGTTTTGCATTACCTACCATTCCTCGGTAACTTCGGTAACAAGGGGGGTACGAAAAGCATTGGCGCTGATGTCAGCCAATCCATTGGAAGCTGGGATTTATACACGCATTAACAAATGCATTTGAATACAAATTCCTGATTATAACATTTTAATATGCTTAGCAAAATGGCGATTGATGCTCGGTTCTTGTTATATTATTCTCGAGCCGACAGACAAAAAAAAAACCTCCAAATTCAATGAATGTTGATTTGTAAAGATGAGGGGTGTTGAACGAAAGAGACTGACAACATGGGCCAAAACTTTCTTATGCTGATGAATGATGATGGGATCTATTTGAATAATTTGACTATGATTACATTGCGTATTCTCGATATAATACCGAGCCTTTTGCTTAGGGTGCGGTAGGCCCAAACGAGCAATTAAGATGGGGCGAATTGGCTTTTCAAGAAAATACAAACTGATTTTGTATAGCCAACTCCAGTAAATATTCTGCTTCTACCAGTTATATGAACTAACACAAGTGCCAAAAGTTTACGCCGGTGATCACTTAAGTGCCAAATCGGAGAAAAAACGATCACTTAAGTGCCAACGACGAGAAATTTTGACCAAATTTAATACGTGGCTTTTATATTTAAATTTTAATGACACATGACATTTCCACGTGTATAATTCAATTTTTTAAATATTTTTTTCTGATTTTTTCTTTCTTTTCTTTTTTATTTTTTTTTTTCTTTCTTTCTTTTTCATTTCTGTCTTCTTCTTCTTCTACCATGGCCGGTGGCCGGAGGCTAGCCACCGGCCATGGCCGCCTCGCGAGCGTAGCCTTCCTCCGGCGAGGCCCGGCGAGGCGCCTCGCCCGGCGGGCGAGCCCCGCGAGGGCTCGCCTCGCGATCCGGCGAGGCCGGCCCTCGTCGAGGCCACGGCTGCCTCGCCGGGCCTTGCCCGGAGGAAGGTGACGCCCGGCGAGGTAGCCGTGGCCTCGGCGAGGGCCGGCCTTGCCGGATCCGGGCGAGGCGAGCCCTCGCCGGGCTTGCCCCGCCGCGACCTCGACCCTCGCCTGGGCAGGGCGAGCCCCGGAGAGGGCTCGCCTCGCCAGATCCGGCGAGGCCGGGCCTCGCCCGGAGGAAGGCAATGCCCGGCGAGGCCGGCCATGGCCGGTGGCCGGACGCAGGCCATCGGAAATAAGAAGAAAGAAAAGAAAATAAAGGAAAAAAGAAAGAAAAGGAAAAAAAAAGAAAAGAAAGGAAAAAAGAAAGAAAAGGAAAAAAAAAATGCCACATTAGCCTCCGACGAGCCACATCAGCTTGAGAAATTAATAAAAAAATGCCACGTCGGATTTCCGACGAAGTGGCACTTAAGTGATCGTTTTTGACAACTTTTAGCACTTAAGTGATCCGATTGAAACTTTTGGCACCAAAGTGGCCTCCGTACACAAGTTTTGGCACCAATGCTGTTCTTCCCCCGAACTAACACTATAAGTAAAGGAAATCAAAGAGTTTAGGAAAGAGAAATTTCAAATCCGATATACAATGGTTCGGCACTTTGTACCCACATCCTCTTTTCCGGCTCTAGCTGTCTAATTTGGGCTAAGTTCCACTGGTTATACTTAGGCTCCGTTCATTTGGCGGAAAATATTCTCCCGGAAAATATTTTTCGGATTTTCCGGTGTTCGGGGGGCGGAAAACGTTTTCCGTGAGAAAATATTTTCCTTCCCCCCTCACAAAATAGCCTAAGTCTATGGAAAATGACTTCCGCTTCTTCAAAAGCGGAAATCATTTTCCGGAGCTTTTTCTTCTTCTTCTTCTTCACTAAGGTCGCCGGCCGCCGCTGGTCGCCGCCGCCACCGCCGCCGGACGCCGGCCGCCGGCCGCCGGACGCCGGACGCCGCCGCCGGTCGCCGGCGAAAAATATTTTTCGAAAGTTTTTCATATTGGTCGCCGAACACCGGAAAATTATGTTCCGGGAAAACGTTTTCCAGGAAAATGACTTCCGGAAAAATATTTTCCAAAATAAGAATATTTTCCGCCAAACGAACGGAGATTATCTCGTTATTGGTGTAGAAGTTTCTGTCATACAGAAATAAACTCATTTTGCAGTTGCCCCTTTATAGACCCGATCACTAATCTATTGGAACATTCCCTACTCTCACACAGCTGCGCCTCACTGCATGTAGACTCATTCCCATAGCTATAAACGATACCTCTCTAATGTTTACAAAGGCTCATTCACGCTCTTGGGACTCTCACTTAGACAAATGTCTTCTTCCTGAGTACAACAACTCTATCGTGTGTTTAGAGATTGGTTTGTCAGTCTTGATAACATAACACCACTCAAATGAGTATTACAAGTTTTAAAAAAAAAGAAAATAGAGCCGAAAACCTCTCAATAAATTACAATTTCTCTTGTTAACACTATGCCAATTTCATTTGAGCTTTCTCTCGTTTATACAGGGGTGAGCACCCAGTTTGGTTCAAGGCAGGTCCTAGGAAGAATCAGTCCGGTTCGTTCTCGTTCTAAGGCCGGAATCGCCGGTTTTGCTTGAGAAACGGTCTAATTCCTAGGTTAAACTGGGTTGGGACCGGATTGAAAAAAAAAAAATACTTTTGTGCACATGGATAATCAAACCATGGTCTTCATGATGAACAAACATAAATATAACCACTTGACCAATATAAGTCTTCATAGTAAAATAGTGCAAAGTTAATATTTTATTATAAAAAATTGATTTTTTTGGACAAAACAAAATTAAACCTGTTACCGGTTCCAACTTTTTGAAATCACGAGTCACTCATCTAGGCGGGGACGGATCACCCCCACGGTTGTAGGACTTCAAGTTCGAATTTTGCAATCGAATCTTGTAGCCGATAAGTCCATCCATTTCCCCATAAAAAATCTCGACAAGTCACCCTTGTATAACACGTGCAGAATCTTGCTTCATACATGATTGCTACGAGTTGAGTCTTCAGTGTAGGATCTCCAGTGGTCGTCAAATTTGTCTTTGGAAAGTCCATGTTGGCACAGTCTGACCGATTGCAGAAATTACACTAAGATCCACATGCTTACTTCCGTAGGTTTGCAGACTTAGCAAAAGCTTAAACTACTAATACAAGTTTCTGCAACACTTAAACCAACCCATTGAATACAAAGAATTATCTGTTATCATTAACATCATATAGTATATTTTCCAACAAAAAGTTGGTTCGATAATCATCGGATCCCAAGCTTATTAATTTATGCTGATGATGAGATGTGTTTGATGTTTTGACCATCAATTCGGTTGTATACGATGACCCTCACAACATCCCAATTGGTGGTGAATGAAGGACGTCAATTCTTACAAATGGAAGAAACATCAAATACTAATTACAAAGATTAAATTTTCCAAACAGTGTTTCGGTTCAGAAATAATAAAGCGGAAGAGAGAATTCTAAAATTTCTGTATATTTTGATGTGTATATTAATAAAAAAAAAATACATCAGCTTATTTATAGATTTTATTAGATAACTATTCTAAGATAATATCTCAATCAAGTTGTACACAATTAAAGGGAGATATATGTGCACTCTTGACTTGTTAGTGCTATTTGTCAAAACTTGTCAACATCCACCTCTTCTTGATTGACCTCTTTCCTCTCTCTCTAATGCAGCTTTATTTATCTGAATGTAGTAGTGTTTGTGTGATTCCTGTGTATGTGGGTGACTCTGTTGTGTTTGTGTTGAGAGAGGGAGAGAAGGATGAGAGGGAGAGGGAGAGGGAGAGAGAGGGAGAGGGAGAGATCTAAGACAAGTAATGCCCGCATTCCTCACGCTGTCAATGTTTGATATGCTATAATCCAGCATGACCACTTCGACACCCTCCAAGTACTATGCTTGTTCTGTGTTTGTGTTGAGTTCCTAGGACATCAAGATATTGCAGCTAGTCAAATCACCTTCCCCTGTCTCTCCCTCTCTCAATGTCAATAAGTTTATTGTTTTATAAGGTTTCACATTTCAAATGAGTGCCACTATATGTAAGTCTCGGGTGTAAATTGGTGGGTGTAGCCGTAGATAAGAGTAAGCGGTTCTAGGTTCTAACAGGTTCCGTATAGATTCCACTTGGAACCTGAAACCTACTCATAGGAACAGGTTCCATATAGGTTACAGGTTTCAGGGTCTACTCAAGTTTCACGTGTATTATTAATTAAATAATTGCAGTGCATTATTACATTTAATTACCACAACTTGCTGTTGTGATCCACTAACCACAACTTATATTTAGATACACGAAAAATATGAAACATTAACAAGTTATAAAATAAAAGCTTAGATTAGTGGTTCCAGGTTATACAATCATTATCTAACGTCATGGAACACCGCAATATTACGCGAAAATATAGATCAAGAAAAAACACAAAAAACTTGCTTAAGGTTTCAGGTTCTAGGTTTCACTACCTACAATTTGGTCTTGGAACGTACCCGTCGAAATATGTTTCGAATTTTTGGAACCTGGAACCTTCAAATTCTCACCGGTCAATTCTCATGTTCTAGATTCTATCCTGAAACTATGCTCACCCCTAGCCGTAGATGCCCTTTGAACCGGTTCCATCTGAAGCTTCTTGTCAGTGATCAGCATCAACTTAGTATTCTCTTTGCATTATGCCGCTCTTCTTGCACTCCCAGTTTCTCGTTTCGCGAGTGTGCGGGGATTGGACCATAGCATCCGAAGACTAGTTCATCATAGAATCACATTCATTTGACAATCTACAGCAAAGAATCAATTACGGACTAAGCTGGAGGAGTTATCTAAGATGGCCATTCCCCAACCAGTAGCCAACCAATTGCCAGATTTTACATTTGTTAAAGCAATTGGCCATCAAATGTTTTTAAAGTTGGGAACTTAGTGGGGCCATGTGTTTCCATTGAAGTTTTCTTATCTTTTACTTGTTGAACTTGCCACACTCAACTCATCTTCATCTTTCTTTTCCTTTTGTTTGTCCTTCAATTAATCTTATCCCTTATTGTTAAAAAATAAATCTGATATTTAAACATCAAATAGAATACATCTAATTATTCATTTGTTCTCAGAAAATCATTATTTGACTTGTTGGAAAGAAGTAGAAAACTTTATCGTAATTAGGGAAATTAAAGATTGAGAGGTAAATGTGGCATCTATCTATGCCTTCCGGTCTAATTTGCTAGTTTGCTAAGGTCAAGTTAAGATTTGTAACATACAAAATAAACTTTTTAAAGTTTCTTTTTTTATTACTTTTGAAACAAATTCGATCAGTACAAATATCTATTTTTAATCGATTCCATGAATATGCACAAATTAAATTCTCATAGCGTCTGATAGGCCTAAAAGATAAAGATAAGTGGCCATCTATACTTGTATCCGCTCTATCGATTGTACAAGAGACAGAGAGATTATTCATGAAAGAAATTACCGTCATTAATAATATAGAGAGCTCGAATTCGATCCCTAATGCTCTTTTCATCCGTTTGTGAAAAAAGATGTGCACAGACTTTAAGATTCGAGAGAAGACACGGCACACAGCTGGGCCTATCAGGATAGATTTTCATTCACTTATAACTTCTGCCATTGAGTTTTACTTTAAACTTTAAAAATGATAAAGATTATTTTTACTTTGAAAGAATTATGAGATTGCTATATATAATGGTACGTGTTACTTGAATATTTTGAAGATTAATACCACGAAAAATCTCAAACTAGTATACCTATGATAAATTTACTTCAAACTAATTTTTTGACAATGAAAAATCCCAAACTAGTACACCTGTGATAAATTTACTTTGTCACAGGTGTATTAGTTTATGGTTTCTTTTTTGTATTAATTCAATTTAACGGAAATTAACGGAGGGTAAATTTATCACAAATATACCGATTTGAGATTTTTAGTGGTCAAATAATTAGTTTTGGGAAAATTTATTACAGGTGTACTAATTTTGGGTTTTTCGTGGTAAAAAAATTATTTTGAGATAAATTTATCGTAAATGTACCAGTTTTGGATTTTTCGTGGTATTAAAAGTTTTAATTGGCTTTTATATTAAACAGAAATTAAAGCACGAAAGGGGAAACTTCTCGTAGTGCCAGTGTGCCTCACACAAAGGAGATATAGATAGCTCACGAGCGTTGGTTAGAAACTGGGGGAGTCAACGGAGTCCGAATTTCCGGCGACCGCACCGGAAGCAAGCCAGCCAAACCATGTCGATGGCGACGGCGATGTTCGTGATCAAACCCGTCTCTCCGCTCATCCGTCAATGTCGCAAGCCTCGACTCAATCATCATCACGCCGCTCACACGCCTCTCAGTCTCAACCGAGTCGCGACTCACCTCCCCACTTCTCTCCCCTCAGCGGCGGCACCTTCTGCTGCCAAGTCGACCGTGGACGACGAGTTCGATCCGGCGCTGCCGATTGAAGAGGCCTCGACTCCGCCGAGCTCGTGGTACACCGACCCTTCTTTCCTCGACCTCGAACTCGATCGCGTCTTCTATCGAGGCTGGCAGGCCGTTGGTTCGTCCTCAAGCTTATTGCTTTCGACTGAATTTGTTCTAAAGGATGTGAATTGGCTTTGTTCCTTCGGTTTCTGTCCGACCCAGTTCGCGACGATGATTTTCATGACCGACCGGATTGAAGTTCTTCAGTTTCCTGATTAAGGATTTTAAGTGTTTTCCTGAGATATTCTATTTTCACTGGTTCTTGACTGTCAGGATGCACCGATCAGGTTAAATCGCCCCAGGACTTCTTCACTGGCAGGTACTGAGGAGCGTCAGTAAGCAATTACTGATACTCTGTGGCACAGAGTTACAACTTGACTTGATCACAGTCTTTAAAAGTTTTCTTCCTTTTTTCCATGGTTTTCCATTCCCGGGACAGTTCTTTATTAATAGGAGTGAGATACTTAGAATCAGCACCTTTCCTAGTTAAAACTACCGTTTTGTTTCTCTGTTTATGCATGACTTCCAAGATCCCAGTTATGGTTAAATGCTGCAGATTGGGAAATGTAGAATTTGTGGTGTGTCGAGATGATAATGGAAAAATCCGTGCCTTTCACAATGTCTGTCGCCATCATGCTTCTCTTCTTGCATCTGGAAGTGGCAGGAAGTCGTGCTTTGTGTGCCCATATCATGTTAGTTCATTTCCACTCTCATGTTAAAGCTACAAAGTCAAGAGTTATATGGTTGTTCTTCCCTTTTCTTGTAATTTTTGTTCCTTGATGACACTTGGTAAAACGGAAATTGAAGCTGATAGTTTGGCAATCTGATTCACTGCATTTTTAAATGGATAAAGCAGAACGCTCATCTCAAGCAAAGCTTTACTCTATCATGTTTGGAATGCATCTCATTGTGCCGCAACTCATGTGATTAATGCTTACGGAGTAGCATGGTTGAAGATTGCTTCGAATTTTTGACATATTAATAGCACATTGGAATACTAAATTTTCCTATTACGATCTCTATTTTGAGATTTAAAAGCAATGTCAAGTCATTTTTCATCCTGACTTGATTATTGATGAATGCGTCACATAGCAGTTGAGTTTGAGAGAAAACGTGCTGGGTGAAGGCAATAGATTATAAGCAGATTCTTGCCATTATCATACTATTAAAACGATTGGAATGTATTTACAACCCAAAAAAGACCAGGAGTCTACCCATGAAAAAGTACTCAAAGCTTTTGTAGATGGTTTATGCAGATGCACTACGGAAATGCTTCTAAGTCTATGTTGGCACTTGCTATTTCTTGTTGAACTTCTCTTTGAAGTGTGAATACCTTGTGTCATTGAGGAGTCTAACAACTAAATACAATCTTTGTGATGGTAAATCTACTTATACCGTGTGATATGCAGATGAACTTATCTCTCTTTGTTCTGCAGGGGTGGACTTACGCACTGAATGGGGCCCTTCTCAGAGCAACTAGAATCAAAGGAATCCGGAACTTTGATGTAAAGGTAGGCAATTTTTACTTAAATTCTCATTCCTCTTGTTGCGCAGCATTTTAAATGATATAACAATGAGGTTTCTTGCGGCTGTGTGATTCAGGAGTTTGGGCTCATTCTGCTAAAAGTAGCTACTTGGGGCCCATTTGTTCTTCTCAATTTCGAGAAAGATGTTTCACCCGATCAGGAAGTTGAAAGTGACACAGCAGCAATGGAATGGACTGGTAGCTGTGTAGATATTCTGGGCAATAACTGCATTGATCCGTCACTAACCTATCTTTGTAGACGTGAATACACCCTTGAGTGTAACTGGAAGGTCAGTATCCTTGGTTCTGGTCTGTATAGTGTAATTTTTACTGCTGTTTCCTGCTCTGATTGTCAAATGCTTCGACGGAGATCATATTATCAGCTTTCAAAGTCATTTGACCTCCTTTTTAAAATTTTTAATTAGATTCAAATTTCAAATCTTGACAAAGAAATTCCCAATCCCATGTCTCCATGACAATTCTCAGGCAGCTGATTGAAATTGTTCATTCTCGTAGGTTTTCTGTGACAATTATTTAGATGGCGGCTATCATGTACCATATGCGCACAAGGGCCTAGCATCTGGTCTCAAGCTTGACTCTTACTCCACCACAGTATGACTGGCCACAAATTGTACATTTTCATAATGCCTATTCCATATATTTGAGCGTTGTTCCCGCAATTTCCTGGGATCATCCTCAGCATGTTTTGGAGAGTAAATCTTATTATATGATGGTTACTTTATATTTGCAACTGTTTATGGTTTTCATTTTAGTAATTTCTTTGTACTAGATACATGAAAAAGTAAGTCTACAAATATGTGAAGGTGGATCAACTGACAGTGCGGATGATTTTGACCGACTTGGAGCGAAGGCTCTTTATGCTTTCATTTATCCCAATTTCATGATAAACAGGTGATAACTCACTCATCAGATTTTGGTATCGATGAAGCAGTTTATCTGGCTTCTCTTCTCTAGCTGAGGGTTTCCTGTTTTTATAGGTACGGACCATGGATGGACACAAATCTTGTAGTGCCCCTAGGACCAAGGAAATGCCGCGTAATATTTGACTATTTTCTGAAAGATTCTCTCAAGGTGATCTGATATCCAGTTAGTCCTTGTAGTATCAAGAATGACTGCAACCACCAATAACTTATTAGCAACTTGCGAATGTTCTTTTAGAATTTTCCATTATTGATACTGGAGAAAAAAGGGAATGGTGTGCACGTAGTAAACCCAGAATATCTACAAAAAGTAGTAACCTCAAAAAGCAAGAACATTAATCTCGTACATGAACTTATATTGCAAGATGCAGGTGTTAGTTTCACCACGGAAGGTTAGTGGCAATAGAGTATGTCATAGTGGAGCATGCCTTTACAAAGTAGAGCTAAGTAGCTAAAGACACGGATTTGTACATGTTCTAGTCTATTCTACTATCATATCCTGTTAAACAACAAATTATCATTGTCCTCCGGAATTTGTTTTCATATTCTAGTTCATCCCTTGTCACTTTTGACACTACTTGCATCCATTAGTTCACTCGTCCTGTGGGATGTGCTTCAAGTCATTGTCCCACACATTTAATGCTTTATCATGATGCTGAATCCTATAATGGTGTTCTAGTTCATAGGGAGTTAATTATGCAAGCTTTCTCAACACGGTCAATTTAGATTTATATAGCTATTCAGGTTCAAGCTTTTTTCTCCTTCAAATTTCGCATCATTTTGAGCAATTCATCTAATGCGCTTACTTTGGTTACAGGATGACAAGATTTTCGTGGAGAGAAGTCTGCAAGATAGTGAAAGAGTACAGGTATAAGAAAGTAAAACATATACCTAATCTGTAGGGCCAAATCTTGGGCATTACGATCCTAACGTATTTGGGGAATTGCAGATGGAAGATATTGTTTTGTGTGAAGGCGTTCAAAAAGGCCTTGAATCTCCAGCCTATTGCCGTGGAAGATATGCGCCGACAGTCGAAAATGCCATGTACCATTTCCATGGTCTGCTCTATCACAATGTTAAAGGATGAATTACAGGTATATATTGTTCGTTGAGGGTGAAAAACCTAGCGGTCCTTTGCTTTTTAACTTTTCATTTCCAGACTATGAGATATAAACCCCCTCCGAGCTTATCGGATCTATATCGTGATTGCCTAACAAAACCCTCCAGGCTTTAGCAGAAGTAACTCTCAACCCATGGCCTTTCGATTTTCCTCTTATGCTGGAACAAATGTAATTCTAATGTGTCTACAAATTGGTTTAGTTTTGCTTAGGGGATAAAAAGGATGCTTTAGATAGCGAGATATCGTCTGGTCCCAAAATGGAAGAAACGCATAGGTGGGGGGGCCTTAGAGACGAAAACAGTGAAAAGCTTTTTGAAGGAAAAAAACCTTAATCATGAGAAAGCCGAATGCAACTACTATGGCTTGTCTGGAATGAGCCTTCACTGATAATATTCGAGAAAGGCACTCAAGTCCTTCGAATGCAACCTTATTGAACAACCCCTATGAAAAGCATTATAACTCGAGCTTTTTAGTCGACAGGCCTTTGTCAAACTGCAAGCACGTAGCAACCTTCATTCACCACATTCAACTTTTGATCTAAATCTTGCATTTACAGAGAAAGATATCAGCGAAACAGACAGAGAAACAAATTCTGTATGAAAAAGAAGTTCCCCTGAAGTCATGTACAATTCACACGAAATGTGAATAGAAATTTTCACTGGAAGCTACGCAAATGCATAGTGTCAGAACTACGTCAGAAGTGTAATGTCTGCCTATCATGTCGTCCTGTAAACTCGACACACACGGTCCCAAGCTTATTCAAGATTCACTCGGTTCACCTGCACGAGGAAAAGGAAAATTAGCGGCAAGGCACCCGAAAAACTTGGGAACTTAGTGCGCACAGAAATGCAGCAAAGACCTCTCACTTCCACGACTTCGTCGACGTCGACAGAATAACCTTGCAATATACACATGCATCGGAGTTCTGGGGACGGGTATTAGCTTTCCGACAACGGCCAGAGGCCAACTGTTTTCAAAGCCGGGAAAACCATACAGGAAAGATCATTAGTAAAGAGTCAACGAATTCAATAAAAAGCAAGTGGTTACTGGGGCTACTGCTCTTTCCATAATGTTTTCTTATTCAATGCACCAACAAAATTTCAAATAAAATAAAATAAAAGGGTAAGAAGAACTAGAACGTCGTAAGAAACTCTCCACAGTCACCATCAATACCGCGAGAGATGTACAAGCTACAGACCTGATAAAAGCAATGATCATGGATATGATCCACTGCTTCCAATTAAGTCTCACTGTTGAAGTAAACTTCCCCAGAAACTCAATGATAATGACCTGAAGAGAAGGCAAGATAAAGGATCGTGAGATATTTTTACATGATATCTTACCTCAATCAAGAAAAAAGCTGAAAGGTTCTCACCTGAATTACAAGAGTCAGACCTACTATCCCCATGAAGAGATTATTCTTCGTGATTCCCTCGAACACATTAAGCTCATCTGGTTTCCGGGCATTAAATTCATTGAATATCTGAAAATTCAACATTCACATGCTTGTCAAAATAATGGGTTAAAAGAAGAAAATGAGAGAATTCTAAATCTCCATAGTAATAGCATCATGAATACAGACAAAGCCCAGATAGAAATGAAAATCCATTATCAATGTGCTCCTCAAGCTGATGCCAAACTATCTGAATCAAAATAAGCGCAACATTTGCACTAGCCAGTTATAGTAAGGTCATTGCAGATGCACTAAGGTATCAACTATTTAATGGTCAGCAAAACAAAAAAACAAGAGTGAATCCAGGCTCTGACTGATATACGGGCTTTCCAAGTGCTCACCCTCTAGAATTTGGAGCTCTGGAGTGGTTGGCTTCCATATATAGGTAGAAAATGTGCTAGTTCGCATACTGCAGGGATCTCTCTCTCTCTCTCTCTCTCTCTCTCTCTCTCTCACTAAGGAGTAGTTTTCTTCAAACAACAAGAGTGCCACAGAGAAACCCACTTACAAGCAATTAAAAATCAATTTCTTTCCTCGCACAAGAAAATAGATTCAATGTTGAAGTACAGTTCGCGGATCGTTCGATCTTCTCAGCCAATGAAATAATTCTATTGCCAAATTCCTAACTAGAGATCCAACCCATTCAATTCAGATAAAAGTAAGCGCCTGAGTAATCTCAACAATAGCAGCCCAGAACTATCAATTATTCTGTCTTCTTTGACTGTAAGGCACCAAACTTACTTGGCAAAAGACGAAAGCATTGAAGATCAGTGTATTCTTCACTTTGTTAGCATGATCGCGGGTATCATGCTCCAAATTCAGTAAGCTTCTACCTCGGAAATCGAGGACAAGCAGGACACTCACTTGATAGGCAGCCTAAAGATCCAAACTCTACATTGTTAGGAGCAAAAAGCCCACAAAAACTCTTTCATATAGAGTGTTAGTGGCCATACCTGTATCAATAAATTCCTCCACATGATATTGGAAATAAGAGGTTCTCTGCAATTGAGAAAATTACCCAGTAAGTGCATAGTCAGAGAGTAAGGATAAACAACAGGTTCCAGCAAGTGAAAAAACGGCAATACAGATCTATAGAAAGAGGGATAAAAAACATGATCTCCAAGCTTGGTACCAAAATCCTTGAAATATATTGCACCCAATAACAATCACTCCCTCTTACCTCCTACCGACTGGAGACCTATGCATAAGGTGGTCAGTTGGAGGCTCAGTAGCCAGTGCTAATGCTCCAAGGGTGTCCATGATAAGATTAACCCAGAGTAGCTGCAAGCAAAGAGAAAAATTCAGAACTAGAGAAAGCAAATATCATGTGGAGGTCTGGACCGCAGCAAGGGAGGGAGGGAGGGAGCGAGAGAGAGAAAGAGAGGGAGAGAGAGAGAGTACCTGCACTGCATTCAGTGGAACATCACCAGAGGAAACAGCAGCAACAACGTTTATGATGAGAGCTGCAACGTTTACTGTTAGCTGAAACTGGATAAATTTTTGAATATTTGCATACACAGATCTTCCCCACCTGACGACCTACATTCCACAGGTAATTTGAGGTCTGTCAACCATCACTGCACTTTTTAAGGATTAATCAACCCCAGATTCAAAATCAAAAACCACAATAGTCAAAATCATTAAGTTGACAATGCGGAATCAAATATTCAACTAAGCATTAAGTAAGAAAAAATTTGCGAGGACCCAATTCCATTGTAGTTTTACATATCAAAAAAATTTCCAAATGTGCAGGAGAAATTTTAGTAGTGACTCGTTTGAGGAATCTAGACTAGGTACCCAAGTCAAGTAAAGTTGCCCAATACCAATCTAAATCCAGTCCAATTATACAAATCTTTCCAGAGAGAAAACTCTCTAGGTAAATAATGTACACAAGCTCTACTATAACTAACTGCCATCAGTTGACACCTCTCTTAAGAAAAGTTCAATCAAATAACAAACTCTGTCGTAGACATGCAGAATTCCTCTTTCAATTAAATTAAGGCAGAATACCATGGAAGACCATCGTCCATTTACCAACCTTAACAACAGAACCAAAATTATCATCCAAAATTATAATGTCCGATCTCTCTTTCGCAACTTCTGTCCCTTGAATACCCATTGCAAGGCCAATATCTGCCTGAACTCCAAGATCAAAAAGACATCCAAGCAACAAAATTATTAGATGAAAAGAGTTCAAAGTCAAGGCACAACATAAGTGCACTGGTATATGTGGACCAAAGAAATGAATGGTCACAAGCCATTCATGACAACAGTCGTATTTCTAAAAGCATGCCAAACTAAGATCCTGCATTTTTCAACAACTTGCAATCTATCAACCTTATAATAGATTCAAGAACAAGCCAACTCCAGACTCGGAGTGACTTCAAGACTACAACCAAATTTACCAACAGACTGCACAGCAAGATACTATGAGACATCTAGGGACTTGAAGACTATAAACCAGTTATGTAATAAGATTTCAAGGCATCTTGGACTGTTGTATCTGCTGAATCTTTGCGTTGCTAGAATGACAAATGTCCTGAATCAATGAAAAAGGTGATAACATCAGTAGGACATCAAAGGAAGCCCCAGAAAAATGGTGTCAACCTCGTGTAGAGCAGGAGCATCATTAGTGCCATCCCCAGTTACAGCTACAACGTGTCCTCGCTTTCTCAATGTTTGAACAAGCAGAAGCTTGTCATTAGGAGATGATCTTCCCATAACCTGGTGCAAAAACAGAAAAATTATTAGCCTACCTTCAAATAGAAGACATGATTGATTACACAAAAGAGAAGCAATGCCATACCGATAGCTTCTCGGCAGCTGCTTCTCTTTGCGGATCAGTTAAGGAACGAAAAGCTTTTCCTTCAATAAGGTTTGGCGCAGTAGCATCTGCTTCTGGATCTAGTATCCCGCATTCCAAAGCAATTGCTTTGGCAGTTTGGAGATTGTCACCAGTAATCATTCGTACCTATCGCCAAATAAGATGCATTGCATGCTGAGGTCACATCTAGATAAGTACCTATCCTCAATCTGTCAGGCTGCAGAAGATTACTATTCGAAATCCAGCATCAATAATTAGCATCCTAAGAAAGAAATGTTCGAAGCACCCTACACTGAAATGACTAAATGACAATGTACTTTGCAATCGTGATCGATAAACTGAATTCAACATTTTAGCCTTCTTGATAACCTCATTATACAAGGATAAATTATGCTGAATCCATTTTCCAATGAAGAGCATCGAACCATCATAAACATCCAATATTACCAACTAAAAAGATGTAAATGATGATTGAGTTACAGAAATAATAATAAAAAAAAAGAAGCAGAGGGGAGGGAGGATCATATCCCCAAATAATTAATCTAAACTAATAATGAAAAATACAAACGTACCTTAACTCCAGCATTTTGGCATAGTTTCACTGCAGCTTTCACTCCAGGACGACAAGGATCCTGCACGGTATTAATATGTAAGAGAATTTGTCTTTCCTACGATTAAACTGCACTCATATCAAGAGTGAGTATAGCAAATGATTATCAATGCATCCGGCCAAATTTAACAAAATATTTTCTGTCTTCACCTGCCAGCCACTTGTACCAAGACAGAGTTCTATGGGATCCAAAAGAATATCATTTAAAAAAATTGGATCAACAAGGCGGTGTCAATGAAATAACACAAACATTAAACTTCTCCTTAGGTCCACGATAAGAACTCTTCAAAGTCATGGAAAAGCACTGGAGCGTGCAAAGCAG